CACTGCTGAACATAGGCCTCCCCCAATGATCTCCATAATGACCACCTTGTGGGTTGAAGTCCTACGCTGTGCTTTCCTATCCAGCGCCTTCCTGCTATACCTTTATGAGGTCGGTCCAGAACCTTGCTGCCCCATCGGCCGTCAGTTCTGCGTACTATGTGCTAATCAGAGATCTATGTCAGGGGCTTTAGTGATGTTTGCCTGTTTTTCCCATAAAGTCGCCTCTACCATGGCTTACCTCGGTATAAATCTAAAATCCCTTTATAGTTTATGGTGAGAGTTGGTTCGTGCGCCGGTCACGCGTGATTTTTCAAATTTTACGCCATTTCACGAGCTCGTGACCAGTTTTAGAAGGTCTATGATGTATTTTGAAACAATTTGGAAGAAAAGAGAATCGATGTGATAATATAATTTTTGTTTATCGTTCTTACAGCATAGTTTCTGATCTTTCTTAGTAATAGCACAGAATAATAATAGGAAAGTGCGAAATTAAAAAGTAATTTAATAAAAAAAACATAACCCTCCTTCTGGTGCAGTCGGGTAAAAACTAACATGCAGTCAACCATAGAACCTCTCCTTTTTTTAAGTCCGTTTTTTTTTTACAAAAGCGAACACAGTCCTCTTGGTTTAATGTGAGATTTAGATTCGATTCGAAAAGTTTTTTCAATCCAATCGGTTTGTAAAGTAGGTAGTAGCTGTCGAATCGCATAGTTATTTTAGAAATGTAGAAAAGAGATCTCGAAACCAACGCTAAAAATAAAGCAAGCAAAGGCAAAGTTTAAAAATACAACTAGGAACTGCTTATCTCGTCCTGTCCCATTCGGGAATCGAACCCAGGAACTGTCTGTTCTCAAAAGTCTATCACTTTTAGGAATTAATTAACAAATTAATTGGTCTTTTAAAGCCTTGTTGTACTGATCTTCTTGACCGCAAGCAATATCGGCTTCCCACGGCCAAAAAACTGATCGGACTTGTTGACAAACTTGCGCATGCGCCGGGTCAACGGCCGGCGTCATTCAATCACTCACTCGTTCACTCGTTCAGTGAGGTGACAATGATTTGGAGAAGAAATTTATTTCTTCTCCAATTTTTTTTAATGGTAACATTTAAAACAATACAGATCAACTTTTAAAGAAACTGTGCGTGTATATTCTATGGAGGGAAGTCGAACCTTAACTTCGAACTCTTCCTATGTTCTTCTGATTAAATTCGTTGCGGTTCAATGACAGTTTAACTTTCCCCCGGGACAAACTTGACCTTCACTGGTTGGGTTTTTATTGGCGGTCAAGCTGTCCTGGCTACACAGGAGTTGCAGTGGTGGGAACGAGAGGTGGGAATCCGTTAATGCTATCTTAATAATACATAGTAATGTGAAAGTTTATTGTGAGGATTAATGGATGTTAATTACTCTTCCACGCAATTATTACTGAACAGGTTTTGATAATATAGATAGGATAGAAAGAAAGTATTCTTTGCATGTTCAACTTCTATCGACGGCAACAACATGACTGCACTTCAATATTGTAGTTTCATCATCGTCAACAGATCATTTAAGTCGCCATTGCAAGAGCACCGTCTCTAGTTTACCAGAGGCAAATGGAGGATGGCCTACACTCCCCACGCTGGCCAGACGGGTTGGGATGGTTTATAAGTTAGTGACACTCAAAGTGGCCAAAAAGTTCGCAACTTCTACTTATAGAGAAGAAAATGCTCTACCATAGAGAATTTTCTTGGGCATTTCTATGTAATGTTTTGTTAATGAGGGCTATCGTTTTAGCGCTCACCAGTTAGCGCCACTGTAGAGTAAGGTCCTGTCACTTGCTAGTAGCGAAGACAGTGGCACCAACTGGTGAGCGCTAAAGTGGTAGGAGGACTATCGCATTTGCACTTATTAAGATGGCGCCACTGTAGAGTAAGGTCCTGTCAATCGCCAGGGGTGCCAACTGTTAACTATGAAAACGATAACCCTCATTAATGCTCTAGTTTCTTTAGATTCTTTGAAAAATCGCAAGCTTGGCCACCCTACCTTTGTGGTCAAGTACAGTAGTCAACTGCAACAGACTACATTTTGTTGAAAAATAGCATCTATGACCACTTTTTAAGAGTGTTTAGCTTATTCTGCTGTCGTCTGTACATATTTTGACCCATTACCGTCGTTTATGTGTTATTTAATGACGATTACGTATCTAATGTTTTCTAAGCGCTTCTTTTCGTGACTTTTGCTTATTATTTTGTCGTGTACATGATTGCAATGGTTCATGGTAGGTTGAGAGATAGGAAATATAGGAATAAAAACTTTCTTTGCCTTTATACTGAAAATCTTCTTCATTTCATCATCATTTACTTTCAGCTGTAGGACGCACAACTTTCTCAATTTTTCAGGGGAAATGGTGGATTTACCCTTACCCCCACGCCAATCAGACAGGCTTTGTAAAGGAAAAACCATTTCAATAAATTACTTAAAGTAAATGGGTATTTAACAATTTTTTTACTGAATTTAGTTTAAGTGAAATAAAGTTTTTATCTATCATAACCTTAATTAGTAGATTTCGAGCAAGCCTTTGTCTCTACATAATCAAAATAAACTTATAGTCATAAAATTATATTACTTATAGCCTGACCAGGAACATAAAAACCCTCGCCATGTTGCGGAAAACTAATGGTACTAATTTCTTTTAATGGCAACAGTAACTGAAAACTTCATTGTCATGTCACCTTGCATGTCAGTCTATTGCTGTCATAGTGTAAACAAACTTTATTTTAAATGTGCGCAATTGATTTTGTGAATAAATTGCTAAAATCTTTTTATAGTCGTGAAAGAAAAGTGGTTCACAATGTGTTAAAGTATTTGTCGAAGAGAAATTATAAGGGTTCGGACAATATTTTCATTGAATAATGTTTCCGACAAAGGTTGTCAAATTGACTGACATGTTTATCGTATAGTACAGTCAACTATGAAAATTAGCTGTGGTTTGTTTCAACTACCTATTTTAAAGTTTTTTGTCACTTTTTAAGAGTTGAATTTTATGAAATTGGGAAAGAAGTACCGAGTTTGAAGCGTTCTTAGCAGACATTGCAGTTGAATATTCAAGTTCTGAATTTTATTATTGATGAATAATAAAATAAATCCTATTAACTCGATTGATGGTTTCATTTAATTTATTTAAACCAGGTTACCTATAATAATATTTTTTCGTTAATTTATGAAAATATCAAATTAGCCCGTAATTCTGAATCCTGATACATAAAGTTAGCCTATTAATTTAACACAGGTACGACTGTACTCAGTGTTGCACTATCAAATGCAATTGAAGCGCCTCTATGCCAGGGTTTTTATGTTCCTGGTCAGGCTATACCTACTTTTGTGCATTATTATTTATGATAGACGGGCAAAAACATTTACTCCTTTCTGCAGTCGAGTAAAAAATTATTCACGTTTGTCCCTAACATTTTATGAACTGCGGGCGCAGATGTTAAATCCAGCAAAATTGAACTTATTAAACCTATTCATTAGGTTATACAGCCTTCATACAGCTGTTGTCGCCGGAAGTTGACGGTCAGCTGTTCATCGCTGCTCGCTGCCATATTGTTTTTGCGTCTTTACACTGTTGCTTAGGCCGTGCACTATTTTAGACTCTATCATAAGACTTTAGGGTTGATTTTTGTGTAATGTAGAGGCAGGGTAGGAATGTAAGGCATAGAGAAGGAATTTTATAGTTTACGGTTATAATCTGTGGTATTCCGGGGTTGTGCGAGCCAATAATACTTATGTCGATGATTTTCTGTGAAATGTAGCAATTTTTCGAATTGTTTTGATGGAATGGTTTCCTTGTATGTTATACTAGACTTTGCCGGTGGCTTCTGTACAGCATTTGATGATAATAATGTGACATTGGTACATAATTTTCGGTGATAGTTTCTTATAAATTAAGAAATAATAGACAAAAACATTCATTAGTCTATTAATTTTTTATATTTTTATCTGTTGACTTCTGGCCATGTTAGAGCTCGTTTTAGTTTGAACTTAGGTAAATTAATTTACAAATTGTGAAGTGGCTCTGCCTGTCTGAAGAGTTATCCGTACACGCTTAAAAACTGCTGGACCGATTTAGATGAAATCTGGTGTGGAGCTGGAGATAGTTAAAAATTGTTGAGAACACAGGATGGAGGTGGAATTTGTTAGTTTCTGGTAGATTAGAGAGGGTTGTGTTCTTGCAAAGGAGACTGACGCCCGTATTTACAAACGATGCTTCCTTAAGTGAAGCAGCAAATCGAACGCACAGCGTTGAATAGAGCTCTGTGATTGGTTTGTGTTGTGAGTCGCCCTGTGCGTCCATGTGCACTGTGAGACCTCATAGTAATGTTTGTGAATACGGGCGTAAATGATCTTTGAAGTTGATAATAATGAGGAATTTTATTCAATACTCAATAGTTTATTTTGCATAACCACATTAGCATTCACATTAGGTCTTACAATTTAGGCAGTTATACAATGTGGACCCAGTTAGGGCACAGCAACTTTAGGAAGGAGACAGAACGACGATCTTAATAGTTTCAAAAGAAATTTATGTACACATTGAGTTTTTGAAAGAGAGACACACGCTTGATCTCGTTTTTTTGTAAAGGGCAAAGCCGCGAACAAAATTAGTTTATTTAAATAATTTTTTTATATTATTTTATTTAATTTAATAAAAATAGGCTGAAAAATAATAATGTATATCTAAAGTCATAATCCTGTATATTATGTAATTTACACCATTACAAATTGTCACTTAGTAAGCAATAAATATTTTGAATTTGAATTTGAATTTGAATTATTATTTATATTGTTTATTTTCATTAATTATGTTAAATTAATATGGAGAGCGGGGATATTCTACCACAAGTATTTATTTACTTAAAAGAATTCCTCGATCGCAATATAGAAATGTAAAAACACCTGGTTATGAATAAAGAAATTTGAATTTGAATTTGAATTTGAAAATCTTTTTTCTTTTCAGTTGAGCGGTCATCCGTGAGATGTCGCTAGCGGACGTGACGTCAGCGCGCAGCTCGCCTGCGCCTGACGCGTGTCCAGAGTGCGACACTAGCGCCTCCGTCACATCCGACTTGCATAAGGTAACTAAAAATACTCAAATTAACAGCCATATTGTCCAGTCAATAAAGCATTAATAGATGGAAATCCGTGGAACACAATTTCTGACTTTGGGACTTTATTTAGACTAGTTAGGAGGTGAAAATAGCAAAAGTCCCCGCCCTTAGCCCTTGATCCTCGGAAACTATGCGTCCTAGTGACATCACTACTATGAACCAAAAAAAGCTTATTCAATTAAGCTTAAAGGCACTGGGTCTCTATCAGAAGGAACTCTAGGGGTGGAATCTCCATAGGCGTGGGTTAACGGGCAAGGAGATAATCTTGGATGGTTGACAACCACTTTTCCTACAATTTAACGTTCCACCAAACTCAACACGCTTTCAAAGATAACCTCGCAGCCGCCTGCTCACACTTGACATGACACAACTAACTGACAGTTATCTTTTTCTGCGCATCAGTCGGGTGTTACGTTTAGGAATCACAAACCTTCCGCTCTACAGATTTACACAGATAACATAATATTAAGATTGGTACTATTAATCATCAATAATAATTGCAGCATCTGTGTCCGGCGCCGACAAGCTTATAAAATTAAGCGAAAAACCGAAAAGTGGTACCTTTAAACCCCACTCTCCCCGCCGGCTCAAGGGCTAAGGGCGGGAACTTTTTCATTCATTGACTGGACTAATAGTGCTTGATATGGTAGGTATGTAGTGGAGGCTATAGTGGAGCGACGCTTAATATGTCAGCGAGAAATCATTTAATTTCCTATAAATATGTATACTGTCTGTTAGAACAAAAATCACTCCTTTTGCACAGCTTAATTACTTACTTTAAAATCTTATCAATCATTTCGTCAGTTAATTTCAAAAAAGTATCCACAAGTGGCCGTTCATTGTGGAAAACCTTGGGGGAGGCCTTTGTCCAGCAGTGGACGTCATTTGGCTGAAAACGAACGATCCACAAGTGAAGTCAAACGTGGGCACTTTCATACAAACTCTATGGAGAGGCAGGATTCTGACTGCTCTTATTATGAATCTCATGACTGTGTTTATAATTCCCCTATTCACACGTCTCTAACGTTGGTCTCAACAACGCCACTCGTCCAATGTGTGGATCAAGAAAACAGCTCGTCTCAACTTTGGTGCCATACTGTGGAGTGGATGTGGTGGCTTTGAACCAACGTTGGAGCTAGCTTAACTAACACAATAATTATCCGATCTTTGACTATCTTTTTAAGAATTAAAAACTTTAAAAGTGTTCCAAAAGAAGAAAAACTAAATTCAAATTCGCTTTTTTCTTCTTTGTCTTTTCCAGTACCAAGTGGCCTGTACCTGCAAGCTGTCAGAGTCCGATTTATGCCCACTCTTTTTAAAAATTCGAAACTGCAAGCTCCAAAAGAATAAACACTATTTTCTTTTTTTCCACTACCAAGTGGCCTGTTAATACAAGCCAGAGTCCGATCTTTGACAATTCTTTTTAAGAATTCATAATTTCAAGTGTTCCAAACGAAGAAAAACAAAATTCAAATGAACTTTTTTCTTCATTTCCAGTACCAAGTGGCCTGTACCTGCAAGCCGTCACAGTCCGATGTTTGATTATTCTTTATTTAAGAATTTAAAATTTTGGCAGTGTTCCAAAAGAATAAACACCTTTTTCTTCTTTTCCAGTACCAAGTGGCCTGTAAATACAAGCCAGAGTCCGATCTTTGACAATAAAATTCTTTTTAAGAATTCATAATTTCAAAAGTGTTGCAAACGATGAAAAACAAAATTCAAATGAACTTTTTTCTTTTTTCGTCTTTTCCAGTACCAAGTGGCCTGTACCTGCAAGCCGTCACAGTCCGATGTTTGATTATTCTTTATTTAAGAATTTAAAATTTTGGCAGTGTTCCAAAAGAATAAACACTTTTTTTCTTCTTTCCCAGTACCAAGTGGCCTGTACGTGCAAGCCGTCGTCCGCGCAGTATGCGTGTGCCGACGACCCGGGCCCCGCGCCCCCCGCTAAGACCGACACGCCCCCCGCGCTGCCCCCGCGGCCCCCTACCAGCGTATTGGCCGCTACCAACAGAAGAAACAACAGTGAGTATCATCATCATCATTTCAGCCACAGGACGTCCACTGCTGAACATAGGCCTCCCCCAATCACTTCCACATCGCCCGGTTGGTAGCGGCCTGCATCCTGCTTCCTGCTACCTTTATCAGGTCGTCGTCCACCTTGTGGACGTCTCACGCTGCGTATTCCGCTACGTGGCCTCCAGTCCAGAACCTTGCTGCCCCATCGGCCGTCAGTTCTGCGTACTATATGCCCTGCCCATTGCCCCTTCAGCTTGGTAATCCGTCGGGCTATGTCAGTGACTTTAGTATCATGAGTATCATCATTAGTGTGCTTACAATGAGTTTACGTTAGTGTGCTCGCTAGCGAGTGCGTCAAAAAAGTCTGAAGATTTTAGTTCTTGAATGTAGCTGCTAGGGGCGCTGTACAATCTGTCATACATTTACTGTCATTTTTTACGCACTTGCCAACGAGCACACCTAATGTAAACTCATGGTAGCTGGGCATTCAGTCTCTCTAAGACAAAGTATGGAGGATTACAAGACCTCTTGTTCCCACCGCTGCAACTCCTATGTAGCCAGGATCTACAGAAAGTCAAGTTTGCCCAGACCGAAAGCACCTGGATGCGAGCAGCACAGGACTGGTTGTTGTGGAATTCCTTGGGATAGGCTTTTGTCCAGCAGATAATATTCTTTGGCTAAAACGAAGAGGACTTAATGTTCATATTTTGCCTTTTACGGCATGCATGCACGAGAAGTAGGTGGTATGCGTTTTGTAGTTGAATAAAATAGGTGGTAGGGCAGTGCGTAAGGGCAAGTTCGAAAAAAAACAACTGCCTGACACTATCCGTTCATGACCGCCACAAAAACCCAACCAATGAATGTCAAATTTATCCCGGGGGAAAGTTAAACTGTCATTGGACCCGCAACGAAATTAATCAGAAGAACATAGGAGAAGTTCGAAATTAAGGTTAAACTTCCCTCCATTGCGGTCATTCTGTAGATCCTGGCTACATAGGAGTTGCATTGGCGGGAACGAGATGTGGGAATTTATAGTCCCGTATCCTTTCATGAGATAATTTATTGCAATAGCCAAAATTGCATGCATTTTTAAAAACGCCACACAAGTTTTAGTCACTTTAACTTATGGCTTCCGTTAAACTTGCCGAATTCCTTCTACATGTGCGCAATCAAAAAAACCTTCCCACGAAAGCTTTGCAATATCTTTTGTACTTAAAAGCGTAACAATACATCGTAAAACTACCTGCTATTTGGAAACTCAGGTGCTTATTTACTGAGATTCAATGGAGACAATTTGGATCAGTATTTCTGAAGATAATGCATGGTTCACCTGATGTATGAGAGTCACTATTTGCGGTCCAAGCTTTGTTAATAAAATCATTGTATGTATGCCTTTCAATACCGTGAACTAATGTATGAAAAAACGTCTATAATAAGTTGTAATAAAAGATTCTTTACTATGTGCCTTTGAAAGCACCGAAGGCGATTTAATATTTTGACGATTTGCAATACTTATAGATAAATAGAAGGTTTTAATTTAAAAATATTATTAATTTATTTATTGAGGAATAACAAAAGCCTAATGCTATAGACAGACTAATTATGTTGTTAGGGGCTAATTAGGCTAAAAAAGTTAAATAAACAAAATTAAATGAAATACAAAATATACAATAATTATCTATAAATAAAGTGTTTGTAAAATACAATCTTATTCTTATAATAATTGCTTGTTAAAGAATCATTTGTTTGTTATTTGAACTTCTAATCATCACCAAACATTTTAAAAACTATCATCATTAATTAAAATAGCATTTAAATAGACCGAAATAGCCATCTTGTTTAATTTTAACTGCATCCATTTTTTTTAATAAACTCGTTTTCGAAGTTTTCCAATCCCCCTCCGCCATTTTCCGATTATAATCTATGGCAAGGGCTTTCGCGGGAAATCCATACGTCATAACACCCTCCCGTTACCTGGCCCTACGGACTGCGCGCGCCACTCATTGCTAAAACATAACCTAGCCTGTAAACGTAGCTGAATTAATAATGTAACCCAATTCTGTTCATGTAAAAACGTTGTTTCACCATCTACAAAACCTTCAGTGGAAATTGTGTTGTGTTAGCGATATGTGTTGTCTGTGCCGTAAAGAAAAAGAAGTGGTTTTACTGAAGCAAGTAAAATAAATAGAGTGTGTAACAAAAGAGGTTTTAGTGCCCAATTTTGTGTTGAAAACAAAACAAAAATGCATTTAGTGTGCAAAGAAAGAGGTTTCAATTAATGATTTGTTGTTTTTGTAAAGTGTAAGAGGTCAACGCTCGGAGTTTGGCTTGGGGGTGTGAATATCGATTTTTTGACAATGGCGCGCGTTTTGAATGTTCCTGGCTGGATGTCACCGTAGATGAGAAAAGTTTTGACGTTTAAAATGGCGGGAAAGTGGACTTGATCGCTGAAAGGAAAAATAAAGTGTACCTACCTATTTGTGAATTGAATTGAAAGAAATAGGAGATGCAAGTGATGCAATTAGTGCAGTATCAAGTGTCGACGCCGCAGTCGACCATCGCAGCTGATGTAGCACAACATTATGTGCCACCGCCGCCATATTTTGGTACTTAACTTATTAATATTGTTTATAATATGCACAGGAATATATTTTTAAAGCTTGACTTGATTTTTTTTCCACTTCGAGCAAGCAATATGAGGAGCAGACTCATAAAAATTGTGGAGAACCGAGAAACTAACTTATTGGCGAACTGACCCGGTGAACGTCATATCGTTTATGTCCATCGGAAATAATGTAGGATTCTACTAGTACTGAAAGATTTTTTCAAATTGGTCCAGAAATTTCGGAGCCTATTCAATACAAACAATCAAATCCTCTTTATAATATTCGTGTAGATAAATAAAGTAGGTAATGCACTGGACACACTTTTTTCCCGAAAAGCTTGTCTTCGATCACATTTTTCTTTTGTGTGGTCATTTACCTACACAACTGCGGTCACAACGATCTAGTATTAAGCTGGCACATTCTTCTGCCACAACTTTTCTTCTTCTTTTTGTCGTGTCGACAATAAACCTTTACTTACAGTATCAGCCCAAAACTCCGCCACAAGAATGGTGCTGTCAGTAGCATTCATTAATCTTCCTGTGTGCAGTTGATTGGGCACGCAGGGCACGACATCATTGCTTCATCGACTGGGGAACAAAACCGCACTTGCACTCCAAGTTTTTTCCAAAAATCCCCACCTGAACAGATTGTAATTACTACGGCTGACCTGCGTCCGAATTCTGCCACAACTGCTAAGGCTGGTTTTAGTGTCACGCGGACTGTCAGTGCGGATTGCTCCGCACAGCCGATTTGTATGAACTTCTAGGGAGCGGAGCGGTTCCTCTGGACCGCATTACTCTAAAACGCTCCCTAGAAGTTCATACAGATTGGCCGTGCGGAGCGGGTCCGCACCGGACGGTCCGCGTGACACTAAAACCAGCCTAATCCTTTAACTGCCTATTCCAGCGGCAGTCGGCTGCAACAACGACACCAGCTGTCGCCGGCGCAAGTATGCGTGGTGGTGCGTGGGCTGCGGCGCCCTGGCCGCGGCGTTGGGCGGGCTGCTGGCCGCCCAGCATATACTGCTGAGGGCTTATACCGCGTCCCCTCAGCATCTGGAGACGGTGCCGGCTGCTGTGCCTGCTGCTATGGTAAGTGTTTCATTTTGTATACACAATGAAGAAGCCCTTGGCCTGTATCTCACCTGATGGAAAGTGAGGATCAGGCCGAAGGTGGAAGCGAGCTTCACCCGGAATCCTTAACCACAGAGGAACTGGCTATCTTACCTCTTAACAGCCGGAACACATTATGGCGACAGACTTGTGTTAGGAGTGGATTTATCACAAGGCCAGGATATACTGCTGAGGGCTTATACGGCGTCCCCTCAGCATCTAGAGACGGTGCCGGCTGCAGTACCAGCTGCTATGGTAAGTTTCAATGGCTGCCTAAAAGGGTCTAGCGCATGACTCAGTGTTTGTGGTATGGGAGCGGTACCTATTGGAGATGACAGAGCATACAAGTCTCAAGCACATCTGAAGTCTCGCAGACGTTTGACGTTTCAAAAACACCCTCCTCTGTGCCGTTCTCATACCTCAGGCACTGACTTATTCAGGGTTTAACACAAGGCCACCCAGCATATACTGCTGAGGGCTTATACCTCGTCCCCTCAGCATTTGGAAACGGTGCCGGCTGCTGTACCAGCTGCTATGGTGAGTGTTTCATTTTGTATACACAATGAGGAAGCTCATGGCTTGTATCTCACCCCGTGATGGTGAGGTGGAAGCGAGGTTCACCTGGAATCCTCAACCACAGAGGAACTGGCTATCTTACCTCCAACTGCCAGAACACAACTATGTTGCTAGCATTGTGTTAGGAGTAGATTTATCACAAGGTCACCCAGCATATACTGCTGAGGGCTTATACAGCGTCCCCTCAGCATCTGGAGACGGTGCCTGATGCTGTACAATTGTTATCCACAATTTTAAAAAAATATGCTGTAGTTTTCCCCGAGTCCCGTTGCTTACCTCCATAGGTCTGCAACTTCGTTCAGGGGATAGATTAAATTTACCATTGGTAACGCCATAATTCCAACACGGTATGTGGCGCAAGATGGATGGTAATACAAGCCTTACGCCCGTATTCACAAACATTACTATGAGGTCTCACAGTGCGCGTGGACGCACAGGGTGACACACGAACCAATTATAGAGATTTACTGCTTCACTTAAGCAAGCATCAAGGTTACTAAACCTTTGTTTGTTACCTGTCATCCGCTTTGCAACGGAGGAAAGTCGAACCTTAACTTCGAACTTCTCCTATGTTATTCTGATTAATTTCGTTGCGGGTCCAATGACAGCTTAACTTTCCCCCGGGACAAACTTGACCTTCACTGGTTGGGTTTTTATTGGCGGTCTAGCTGTAGATCCTGGCTACACAGGAGTTGCAGTGGTGGGAAAGAGAGGTGGGAATAGTCCCGTTAAGCAAGCATCGTTTGTGAATACGGGCGTAAGAATATTCGCAAAGTTTTTTCTTCCTCTGCTTGAAATTGATCTACAATCTCTGCTGTTGGCTGAAAAGATGATGATGATGATGATAATGATAAAGCATTCTTACTTGTTCCAGTTGGTGTTGACCGGCGTGTGTATCATGAGTTTGGCGCGCCGCAGCAACCGGTACAGCTATATGGTAAGAAAAGTATGTAGCTGATGATTTTTTTTTGTTTGCATGAGCCCAAGGTGCATGAGGCAATCGTACGTATCTTTATCTACTTACTTTAGCTGAGTTGCACCATCTTAATTTAACTTTAACAAAAAATTACAAAAATCTGTCAAACCACATACAAAAAATAAAGTAAATTGGTGCAACTCAGCCTTAGTTTGATTTATTATAAAACTGTATAAAGTTAACTGTCAAAAACTGAAAAGATATTATAGGCAAAATATCTTTTACTGCCTGTGACGAAGTCTTTATGTGGGGTCGTGGTGTGTTACAGAACAAGAGCCAAAAGCTGAAAGTTTGTCAGCGCATGTTTTTTATACAAATTCTTATAAAGATGTTGTTTCCTCATCAGCCAGAGAGTTTTGACCGTTCCAACCCCTCACAAGACAATCATTTTAGGGTAGCTGCCAAAGTCACGATAACCTTAACTTCACGATGCAATCACGTTCTTACCTATGTTGGGAGCATGCGCTGACAAACTTTCAGTATTTATAAAATAACGAAGGTCTGGCGTTCACTGGCTCTTAGTCCATTAGAGTCGTGTTCATTTACTTAATGTCAATCAATTAAAAACCTTGGACTTCTAATCCCAACTAATATTATAAATGCGAAAGTAACTCTGTCTGTCTGTCTGTCTGTCTGTTACGCTTTCCCGCTTAAACCTCGCAACCGATTTTGATGAAATTTGGCATAGAGATAGTTTGAGTCCCGGGAAAGAACATAGGATAGTTTTTATACCGGTTTTTGAAACAGGGACACGCGCGATAAAGTTTTTCTGTGACAGACAAAATTCCACGCGGGCGAAGCCGCGGGCGGAAAGCTAGTTAATAATATAATGTAAATCATGTTTATAAACGTAGCCTAATATTATCGCTGTCGGACTAGCTGAATCAAAATCCAAGGAACGCGGGTTCGAACCCTGCCACCACTGGACAATAGGGATGTTTCCTGGGTTAAAAAGCAAGAGTTTTAATTAGTCCGTCAGTTAACTTATCAAAAAATACTCTACACGTATTTTTCACTTTTTCAAATTAATGAAAATTTAAAGAGATAAAGCGCGCCAAAGTTCATAAGAAGAGGCCCGTGACGTCAATGCATGCATAAAAGTGCCGCACGTTGTGACGTCGTGCGGAACTTCAACGCACCATAACTATGTAATTATTTGTTAGATTGACAAATAAAAATATATGTGTCCAATATTTTTTGATATTAAACATTACGGACTAAAAAAATTTTTTTAGGAAACTAGCCTATTGTTGTGAATTTGTGTGAAACTCGTAACACAAGTGATATTTAGCTAAGGACGAGGGGTTTGCGGGACTATTATTAATAACAGAGGCAGATAACAATTAGGTAAATTATGTTATATTTCCAGATCAAAGTGGTAGGCGTGTGCTGCATCGTGTGCGCTCTGACATGCGTTCTCGTCACCATCACAACCACCGTCATACATATGAACAAGTAAGTCTCTTTGGTTAATTTCATTATAATGCAAAAGTGTATAAACATCAAAAACATTAAAAAATATTTCGTTTTGTTGGATTTCACTTGAACTTGGCGCAGCACGCTGCTGTACAATGAAATAGCAAAAAGCGACCGTAAGAAATAGTACTAGTACTTTTTTCGTAAACGTGGCCTCTCACTATAGGCCTTATACAGAAGCTCAAAGTTGCACAGCGTGCTATGGAGAGGGCTATGCTCGGTGTTTCTTTACGAGATCGAATCAGAAATGTAATTCGTAAACGAACTAATGAATAAATAAATAAATAAATAAATAAACAAATCTTTGAACAATTTCACACAGCGCCAGCTAGCCCCAAAGTAAGCAACTTAATGCTTGTGTTATGGGTGCTAAGCTTAACGGATATACTACTTATATACTTTTTTTTTAAATACATAAATATTATACATAGTCACACCCAGACCCGTCACAGAAATTAAAATTCATCATTTCAATTTTTGCCCGGCCGGGAAATCGAATGTCGCTGACATAACCCGACGGATTAGAAAGAAGTGGCAATGGGCAGGGCACATAGTACGCAGAAATGGAAATCATTGGGGGAGGCCCTGTTGTAGCTGAAATTGTTGATACCCTTTATGAATTAACACTGTTTGTCGCAGGCTACAAACGCTGAAGTTCTGCGAATACACCAAGCTGACTCGGACCTGCACCTGCTTCTCGATGCCTGACGGGCAGCACGACGGCGATGATGAAGGTACGCTGGCTTTATGACTTAGCCTGAGTATGCTCAAGTAATAAATTGTATATGTATCTTTGTTGAAACAGATAAATATTTGTCTCGAAGCGCTCGTAGGACAAAAAATAAATCAGACGGTATTACCTATTGCCTTTTTTGTTGGTATGAACTTGGCTTGACATGTTACCGAGTCAGGTCCAGTTCCTGAATTGAGATTTTTAGCATGAGCGTGCTCATTTTCTTTAGGCTCCATTTTACTCGCGTACCTATCAACTAATATTTTTTTATACGCTCGGCCAATGTACGCTACCTACTTCAGCGTAGTCGAAAATCAAGCCTACCTATATCATTTTATTAACTAAGATTTCTTTTGAATAGTTTAAAACGTGTCTATCTTCGCCAGGCATCCGCTGCGTCTTCGAAGGCATGTCGAGCTGCGACGTGGTCCACGGAGCGCTGTACTGGTGCCTTCGCGGCGTCTTCGCGCTGTCTGTCAGCGCCGTGCTCGTCTGCATCTTCAGCTGCATGCTGGCCTACCAGCTGCTGAGGTAAGTGTGGCCTGTGAGGATCCCGCGTGACTGTGGCCTGTGAGACCCCAGTTTGTAGCCTGTCAGGTCTCCGCTGCTTGGGCGTGTCTGGACTCTGGCAGCGATGTGTTACACGGCGCGCTGTACTATCTTCTGTATTTTGACACACAAAGAATTGATTTCCGCTACTTATTCCTGGCTTCTTTTTTTATTATTATTTAGTGTAAAAAATACAACATCTACCCAACATGCAGTTATAGTATATTTACTTATTTTACAATAGTTACAAGTTTTTTAGTTTGTAAGTGCCTTTATTAATAACTAGCTGCCTTAGCAAACTTCGTACCTCCTACATTCATCAGAAATAATGTAGGATTCCAACGGTGAAAGGTAAAACAATCAAATGTTTCCTCTTTAAAATATTAGTGTTCCCAAAAACAAACAAAATTAGTCGTATCTCATATAATAATACGAACAAACATTTGGAAGATCTCGAATTACATACATAAATAACTAAAACTAATTATACGTTCATAGAGTTAAGTTTCTTGTTCAACGAAGTCAACGCTATCTGCTGGATATGAACTCGATTCTCCAACAATTTCACGCTGTGTTTCAAATCTGTCACTTCTGATTTCACACACACATAGTCCATAACATCTGGCACTTCGTAAGCTAGACGAACTTTCTTAACTTCTTCAAGTCTCTGAGCTAGAGAATCTGCTTGAACTTGAATTATGTCTCTTTCTTTATCTAGCTCAATCGTCATTCTTTCTCTGTCTTTAATTGTGTTTATGATATTCGTCAAATAAGTATTCTGTTCCATCATTAACTTTTTGTGTATCGTTAGATTCAGATTCGCGTCGCCCGTCATCTTTTTCAGTTCACCCAATTGCTGAAGCTTCTTGTCAATTATTTCCATGCATTCGTCGTTTTCGATCTTCAGCTTGTCGAAATCTACAGCTCGTAGACTCTCGCTCAGTTCAGCTTTGACCTTAATCTGACCCTTTAGCTTGCTGAACTGAGTGTTTAAAGTGCTTGTTCTCAAACGTAGCTTCCCGATTTGGCTGTCAGCAATTTTGACCCATTCAGTCATGAACCTGATCCATATTTCGGCGGGAATCCTCTGAGCTATTTTGTCCCAACCTTCCACTATTACTTCTTTGTTGAAAAACCCACTGGCCTTTTCTATATCAACAACTCTGACTCCAATTTCTTCCAATTGCGCTTTGAGTAGAGCGTGTTGTTTGGCAGCTTTTTTCCTCGCCTTTTCCATGTTTTCGACCAGAATCTCCATTTCTGCTGAAACTAGTTCAGATCTTTCCAAAACGTTGATACGAGGACCTGTTCCGAAGATGACTGTTCCACCAATTTTAGCTGATGACTCTACTCTCCTTGTTGATACTTTAGAAGGGCTGGTTAACATTCTGGATGGACTTGTAAAAGAGTCTAGACCTCCAAATCTTGAAGTCTGGGACTTGACGAAGCTACCGACAGCTAAAGATGAACTGCTCTGTAATTTGTTTGCGTAGTCCAAAGCTTGTTGCACTCCATGCATTAGCGCTGGTTCCAACCTCAGTATAGTTCTTTCGAAGATCTCATTTTCTAGAGAAACAATCTTGATTTGCTGCTTCAAATCCTTGACTAATTTAATCAGTTCTGCATCAGTCAGCTCATCCAAATCGTTTAGCTGACTCACTGAATTCTGACTGATTATGCTGCCTTTATTAACGTGGGTTTGTGATTGCGACATGGCTTTAAAATCTTTAAAAATTGGTAGTAAATAGTCGAAAATGAGGTTTGGTGTGACACTGCGGGTAAATTAGGTGCTTGAAAGTCCATTTTACCTCTACCTATCGATGTAAGACACTTGTTCTTAAGTGAAGGTGTTAAGACTGATATTGCCGTGTCAATAGGCTCATATGTGGTGGCTTGAGGTGTTACTATGACACTACGTTGTCATGGTAACAGATGACGTCTGTAAGTGTGAAAAGTCTATAAACCGTGAAGGATGGTCGTAAAAGTTCGTTCTTTAGAAGTTAATGGTACTGTTTGGTAAAAGTTCGGGCTGATTAATGGTGGGGTTGGATTTGGGGGAATTGAAGGTTGTTTGTTTGTGGGGGATTGTAAAACGAGTGATATAAATTGATGAGACACGAATTCACTGAACTTTTACAGGGTTGGTATGGAAATAAGTTGTCGACGTTTCTGATGGGTTTATTTTGATTGAGTTGAATTCATTGTTAATTTATAAGTGATTGCGAAAAGATTTACTCCAATATTTTAGCGGACGATAGAAATTAGGATTCATTGGCTTACTGTGACCAATCTAGCGTCCAAAATTCATCAGGCATTATGACTTATGCCCGTATTCACAAACAATGCTTGCTTAAGTGAAGCAGAAAATCGAACGCACAGTGTTGAATAGAGCTCTGTAATTGGTTCGTGTGTCACCCTGTGCGTCCACGCGCACTGTGAGACCTCATAGTAATGTTTGTGAATACGGGCGTTAATCTTTTAAATATTGCCTCTAAAACATCGGCAGTAGAAACCAGCCGCTACAAACAAGATTATCCAATTTAGACTATGAATAAATGGTAATTTTAATTAGGAAAACAATCAAATTCTAACTAAACTTTATTCTGTACAGCCACGAACGCAAGAAGATGTACTGGGAGCAGTTAGAGCTTCGCTGCAGATCATTGTACCGTCCACCAGCCGGACAGGCCACACCAGCTCAGGGAAGACAGGTCCAGGTAAGACCCGGATTCCGAACCGAAGCTGAGGGGAGAGGTGATATGGATGTAACGAAATTTGATTAGTTATTTAAACACATTTCCTCTCATCTTCGCTTTGATGGAAATTTATATGTCTGGCCTTTTTGACATATTGTTTTTTGATCCGAATCCGTGATGAAATAATCCAGCGGAGTAACTAGTCGCAGAATTATTTGTATGATAGTTTACGGATCCGAATTCGGTGTTCTGATTTCTCTAAATCCATAGATTTTGACAGTTTCGGATCGGATTCGGATCAGACGTAGTCGAAACCGTTCTAATATTATGAATGCTGTCTGTCTGTTACCTTATCACGCTTTAACCATTTATGTAGGTAAATAAGGCATAGACATAGCAAATTCTTATTATTGTTCTTAAATTGATGAGATCACAGAAATCATAGCAACCCTGTATGTTCGCAGAGCAACTGTAGCTGCTGCGCGCAGTGCCACCCGTCGCAGCCGGCCTGGGACATCAGTCTGCAGCACCGCTTCTGGCAGCCAGGTACCGTGTTATTTGTAGTCAGTAACCTCAGCACATTACAGCTTAGGCCTCAAGACCTGGTCCTGTAGAAGGCACTTAAGCTTGGTTCTTTAGGCTTGGTCCCCTAAAAGTCATGGGACTATTCTCACCTCTCGTTCCCACCGCTGCAACTCCTGTGTAGCCAGGATCTACAGCTCGACCGCCAACAACCCAACCAGTAAAGGCCAGGTTTGTCCCGGGGAAAGTTAAACTGCCAGTAGTCCTGGTCCAATCCTCCATTTGCCTCTGCTTAATCGGAGAGTCGTGCTCCTGTAGTGGAGACCAAATGACTGATGATGTTGACGGATAACTTAAATTAGATTCATTGTGCCTTAAGGCCTGGCCCTTTCAAAGTCTATAACCTCAGCACATTGAATATAAGCCTTAAGGCACGGTCATGATGAAGGGTTTAGAGCTTAGGCTTTAAGCTTTGAACAGGATTTGGACTTGCTATACAAGTCCAAATTCTTGAGACAAGGAAACTTCAAGTTAGTAATCACAGAACATTGAATCTTAGGTCTTAACCATTTAACAGTCATTAACATAATCAAAATTTTCATTGCTTTTGGACTTTAAGATAAGCGAATAAGGTTCAAAATATGGTGGGAACTATATTCCCACTGCATTTTAAAGGATTAAGGTTGGTCAGACCATCGCATTCATCAGGAGGAAGGCCTTAAGGCCTGGTCCCCTAAAATTCAGTAATCCCAGCACATTGCAGGTCGCGCAGGGAACCTCTACTCGCCCAACCCTGGTGCCGGGCGGAAGGCGTCTGCCTGGAGCTGGTTTCCTTGGCCGAGGAGTAACAGCCAGAAGTGAGTATTAAACGTAGATCTATTTTATCTTTAAAAAGTGAATTGACTTGACTTGATTTTAAGTATGTTCCTATTATGTATGTAAACTCTTGGATGAAAAAAAAAACGCTCTTATTTTTTATGAATAAACTATATTTGCTGTCTATAACAAGTGTAACTAGTTACTTACCCAATAACGATCATGTTTCATTCCGATGGAACCATAAATTGAAAGTTCTGATCGAACCACAAACTAAGGGATTTGTCACACTGGATGCGGTCTGCGGTCAGGTCAAAGTATAGTGGACTGCGTTTACTTTGACCTTGACCACACTACCGCAGACAATGGGCGTACCCAGCTTCTGGCCAAGGAGGGGATAAGTCATACATACGGCATACCTAGCATCTGGCCTAGAAGGAGGGGCAAGTCAGATGTTTTGGTCAGATCATTTGACTTAGCTCCTTCAAAGCAACACTGCTAGTTTTCCGGGGGAACTCCCCCCCTCTGTGTACGCCCAGACACAACATCCAGTAAGACAAATGCTTAAAACTAACATTTTTCCAGCTCCCGCTGCCGTATGGGCGGCGTACCCCAATCTGGCGACAGCGCATACGGCTTCTGCGATACCGACCCTGCCCCGTCGTCGAACCCGCAACCTTACGACGACCGCTCCTATCCCCCCAACTTGAGAGCCCAAGCGGGGTTCAACCAGAACCAACAGTTTGCGACCAGTCAGGTAAGGGAAAAACTATTTAGGAATTAGCTGAAGTGGCAATAGGCAGGCACATAGTACGCAGAACTGACGGCCGATGGGGGCAGCAAGGTTCTGGAGTGTACCGGAAATTACTGATCGTTATGGAAATCACTGGGGAAGGCTTATGTTCAGCAGTGGACGTCCTATGGCTGAAATATGATGATAATCCTTACGACGACCGCTCCTATCCCCCCAATTTGGGAGCCCAAGCGAGGTTTAACCAGAATCAGCAGTTTGCGACCAGTCAGGTAAGGGAAAACTATTTTATAGAACCATAGCACCCATGCTAGATTTTTTAGCTCGTTTACGGGTCTCCTCATTTCTGATTCGAACTCATAAAGAAACACCAAGCATAGTCCTCTCCTCTAACAATGAATAGGGCACAGAGTACGCAGAACTGTCAGCCGATGGGGCAGCGAGGTTCTGGAGTGGACGCCAGGTACAGGAAATTACTGATCATTGGGGAAGGCTTATTGTTCAGCAGTGGCTGAATGATGATGATGATCCTGCCCCGTCGTCGAACCCGCAACCTTACGACGACCGCTCATATCCCCCCAACTTGCGAGCCCAAGTTGGATTCAACCAGAATCGGCAGTTTGCGACAAGTCAGGTAAGGGCACATAGCTTGCAGAGCTGATGGCCGATGAGGAAAAAAATAATAAATAAAATATACTCAACATCAAATAAACCGCACCTTCCGCGACGCGAACTTTAAAGATTTTCTTCTGACACAATCATGGTGCCCCAACAATATTGGTGTTATTTGAAAGCCCAATAAATAAACTTGAAGAAAAATACATTTTTTTTACAAACACTTAACAGGTACCATAAATGAGACTTGAAAAAAGGCCTCACTTGGGGCTCACCTCTGGGAACAAATAGACCAATTTTTGTGGTTAGAAAACCAAATAATGTTATTACGAGTCCTTTTTAACAGATGGATAGCAATTAATCCCAATTTGACAGTTTTATAGCCATAAAATTTGGCTCAAGTGTAACTACCTATTTTTTTAAGAAGTGACTCTGGATCCTTCTAAAAACACATTTTTGGGGTAAAAACCTTTCCTTTAATGAAATGAAGTTTAGAACTAGGCTTTCAAATGGAACCAATGTTGGTGGGAAGTGGGGATGCATACGTTTGAGAAGTGCTTATTTAGGCCCTTTCCAGGGCACTTATACGCGTTCCAAATATAGCTTGCCCTACCACCACTTCGGGACAACATATAGGCTGGTGCTGAGAAGAAGTCGCAGAAGTTCTCGAGTGGCGACCACGGGCCGGAAGACGTAGTATGGGCAAGCCCCCACTAGATGGACCGACGACCTGGTTAAGGGCGTGGGAAGTGCCTGGATGCAAGCGGCACAGCACCGGTCATGCAGGCCTTTGTCCAGCAGTGAACGTCGTTTGGCTGAAACGGACGCTCACACTTCTACCTTAATATGGACCACTTTTTATTATAATAATATAAATTGTATTTGTCTTTTTGTCAGCAGTTTGCCACAAGTCAGCAGTTCGCACAGAGCCAGCAATTCCAAGGTTCGATGCAAGAGGGCTTTGGAGAAGCCAGCGGCAGTTTTGATGCACAAACTGGGTTGTGGGGACCTCCTCCGCCGTATAGTCCTCAGGGAAGAAGTGGTAGCAGGTGATTATCTTCAAATTCAAATTATTTATTAGTACCTACCTATTTCGGCTTTTAAAAGGCACTTATACGATATCCTATAGTCCTAGCTTGGGCTGCGTTTTGCTGATGATTCCTGAGAAAATTCATATTACCTAACTGAATTTCTAGTGCTACTTTAATTTAGCACTAGCCTTTAGTAGTAGGGTCAAAAATTACTGGGACGTGTAAAAGCGCTCTTTAAACTGTTAAAACTTCAAATTTCGTCATGTTTACCAATGTAAGTTTGTAGGAGCAGTTGTTTGCTAAGCGAAAGATCATGGGCTCAATTCCCATCAGAGACAAAAGTTTTTTCAAGTGAAAAGTGAAGAGAGATTTTATTTATGGATATAAATTACAGTTTAATATGTTAAATTCATAATTAAAAGTCAATACTTTTGTGATTTCAGACATCACCTTCATCATCAAGACCCTGCAGCGGCCACTCTACTTCATCACCACCACATAGACGTCCACCGCAACTCCATGCCCATACACGACCATACAAATATGCCCATGCAACCCCATACATGCGCCCGCAACTCATATCTCATGCACGGCAACATGCCACAGAGCATGTCCGAACTAACCCGGCTAAATCCCGAACTAAATCGATTAAATCCAGACTTGAATCGCTTAAATCCGGATTTGAATCGGTTAAATCCGGACTTGAATAGATTAAATCCGGACTTGAATAGGTTAAATCCGGACTTGAATAGATTAAATCCGGATTTGGCTCAAATGTACCAGCCGGATGTAAATGAGTTGGCTAGGATGCAGGCAGAGATGCATATATCGCCGGAAGCCAGGTTCAATACCCTGAGGGGTCACTTGGTTCCGTATAGGTCGTGTCAGAGATCCTTGGGCATGAGTGCAGGGAACCTTCATAGGGATTGCAGGATGGAGGAAAATGTGGCTATAGAATGCTTGCACCAGAAGAGCGCTAGTAAAGGTAATTCAAAAACACATAGATAGCCAATGAAACCTTACATTTTTATACAGGGTGTCCCAAAAAGTAGTGTCAAGCCAAAGCCCAGAGGTAAATCATCACTAGGGCTATCCAAATCACCTCGATTTTTGGTAGTTTCATAGTTTCGAGCTTTGATTGTTTTAAATTTCTGTTCTAAGGCACTTTTTTGGTCATTGTGGCGCGAATAGTCAAGTTACATGCCGGATTTTTTATTATTATTAGATGATTACTAGGCCTAGCTGATTCATGATTTTTGTCTGTTATTTCCATAGTATAAAATTCTATGTTTTTGTTTTCTTTTTATTTCTGATTTAGTAGACCCATCTAATAAGTTTTCAATTCTTTATTTAACCTTACAAATTATACATTCATCCCTCACCATATTGTCCATATCAATTACTGATTAATTTATGTTTTGTTCAGTTTCAGACCAGAGTTCGGATTCATGCCAAAAGCAAGGGAAGGAGAACCTTGGCTTCCAAAATGACAAACATTCGCCTATAAGGTATGCAAGTTTTAATTTTACAATCATAGGGATAAAAGAAATTTTAGTTTATTACTCAAGCATGCATGATATGCAAAACTAAAAAAAAAGTACTCGATTTTTTCGTCACGTCAAGCTTTTCTGTGTTTTCTTTCGTTTCAGCCAAATGACGTCCACTGCTGGACAAAGGCCTCCCCCAAGGTTTTCCACAATGAACGGTCCTGCGCTGCCCGCATCCAGGCTCTTCCCGCGACCTTCACTAGATCGTCGGTTCACCTAGTAGGAGGCCTGCCTTCGCTACGTCTTCCAGCCCGTGGTCGCCACTCGAGAACTTTTCTGCCCCAACGGCCATCAGCTCTGCGAGCTATGTGCCTCGCCCACTGCCGCTTGATTTTAGCATTCTGCGAGCTATGTCGGTTACTTTGGTTCTCCTGCGGATCTCCTCATTTCTGATTCGTTATTGGTATTACCATAATACTATTCTGTGTTTGCTGGGAATTAACATTCTATTCCATTTCTAGGTCTTCGATGCAAGACTGTCATAGAGGAGCGAATCAGAATGCCGAGTCTGAGGTATACTTCGCTGATGTATCCAGTTGCTGTAACGTTTCTGTGAAGGTATTATTATTATTTTTTTCATTCTATCTATCTATCTAGATCAGCCTTTGGATTCGTCTTCGAACATAGGCCACTTCTTCAACCTTCCACCGATATTTCATTATCCTCATCAGGCAATTTAGTCTTCATTGCAGGAGCATGACCCTCTCTGTTCTCTAATTTAAAAAGGCAAATGGAGGATTAGATCTAGGTACATTCCCTGGCTAAGGTTGGGTAGAATGTCAGATCGTGTTTTTTATCCACCACGATAAAGCTCTTGGCCTGCATCTCACCTGATGACAAACGATGATTAGGCTGAAGGTGGAAGCGAACTACACCCAAAATCCTCAGCCACTGCCTGTTTAACTATCCCCCGGGACAAACTTGACCTTCACTGGTTGGGTTATTGGCGGTCAAGCTGTAGATCCTGGCTACACAGGAGTTGCAGTGGGAACGAGAGGTGGGAATGCCGTATCTTGCCTGTTATTTATATTGAAACTTTCTTTCACAGGCCGAATGCTGCATGAATCCCAACGTGTCTGCTCTAGTGGGCACCATAGAGAACCACCCTGAATCCACATCTGAGTCAGACACTGGTTCCTTCACTCTAACAAGACAACAACGCCCTCAACCCCAAGTGGGGTCTAAAAGACGACCCAGACAGAACGAGAAACTGAAAAATGAAAAACTACGCCAAGACCTGAATCCTATGCGACTGACCGAACAACAAATTGAACAGCTGAACAATTCCATGAGAATTTCCGAAAGAATGAACGATCCCAGAATTGAGAGAGTGAATGACACCAGACTCAGCGATAGAATGAACGATTCGAGGATCAGTGACCGGATGAACGAGTCGAGGATCAGTGAACGGAACGACCCAAGAATGAGTGGAGTGAATGAGTCCAGATTGAGTGATAGAATGAACGAGTCGCGCATTAGTGAACGAGTGAATGATTCGAGGATTAGTGACCGTTTGAACGACTCACGAATCAGCGACAGGATGAATGAAACTCGCTTGAGTGAGCGAATGGATTCCAGAGATCGTCTCAATGATTCTAGATTAGAACGAATGAACGAGTCTCGAGACCGACTCAATGAACGGAGCGAGAGAGTGAATGAGTGTAGAATCAGCGATAGATTCAATGAAACTCGAATGAGTGAACGCGGCAGCGATTCCAGAGACCGTCTCAACGAGAGAATGGAGCGATTGAGTGACGCCAGATCGAATGATTCCAGACTGAATGACTCCAGGCTGAGTGATTCCAGAATGAACGATTCCAGGATTGAGCGGATTGAAGACAGAAGGATGTCTGACTTGAATTCTAGCATAAGACTCGAGGGTAGTCCTAAAATGCGGGCTCACATGAGTCCCTTGCGGATTCAAAGGTCGAGCCCTAAGAATCTGCCCAAAGAACACCCTAGGCAGTCCAGTTCCGACTCCGGCAAGCCAGACTTTTACGTGCCACCGCCGATCAACCTATCGCCCTTATCTCCAAACACTGAAGAGTCATTATTGTCTGACGAGGAAGAGAGAAGGCCTGACCAAGTGTACTCTAACGATCCAGAAACTTCCAAATGCCTCGGTCCTGATTCCCAGTATGAACCAATCAGGGAGGAGAAGGAAGAAATATTGAAGACGAACCACCATCATTGCTACAGCGACACCAATACAATGGATTCAGGCTGGCAGAGTGGCTCTGAAAAACAAGTCACAGATTGAGTAAGTGACTTTTAAGTTGAAATTTCTTTTACTTGAGTTCAATTTTTGATCGTCTTTCGACCTTAAGACAAGGCAATAAGCAGCACAATTGCTTGACATTTGACATTATTTACATTGTATTTTAAACTTTATTGTCTTAAGGTCTTGAGGCAGATTTTGAATAACACACTGCCGTTACTACAGTAATTTTTGTAGAATTTGAAGTATAATATAAGACGAAGACACTACCTAAATTGAGTATTAAACTATTTAAATCGGTCATGTGTTCCCGTAGAGTTTGTTCTAAGAAAGTAAGTGATCAGAGACAAGGAATTCGATAAATTAATGTCAAGTAATTTCAATTATTTAAAATTTTGCTCTCTAGAAATTTTTCATGTTTTATTTTACTCAAGTTTACAATTTTTATTGATTAATTGTCAATTTGCCACTATTCGTCACAAAGTAAGTGGCATATTAAAAGTAAACTCGTCATAAACGGGAACCGTAACTATAGTCTGGTCTGTGAGCACGTAGAATTTTGTCCAATGACCCCAAGCTGCCCATCCTTACCGCTCGCGCGTAATTATGTTACTGTCGCGCTCGCACACTCACTGCGGGCGCGCGTCGCACAGTCGCGACAGCAATATAATTACGCGCGAGCGATAAGGCTACCCATGCTTGGGGTCTTTGGACAAAATTCTACATGCTCACAGACCGGGCTTTATCAATATGAAGTGTGACGAGTTTACTCATGCTTTTCCTTGTAACGAGTCTGTGGCAAATGGACAAAACCTTTTTTTATGAAATTTATTCTTCGATTGTGATTACAAATACTCAAAATTGCCAGAATAGTGATTTTAAATTTAAATTCTTGACATGTTTGGCGGATTGTGAATTTAAAAACGAGTAGAATTTAAATAAAGTAGCCATTAGTATTAGTGCTCTCTGTAAATAACTGTCCATTTTCCATGTAAGGAGATATCTAATGTTAATGTATGGTTTGGTACAGACTTTGTTTTTAAAATTTTAATTTATACGGGGTGTAACAAAACAATCTAAATAAATTTATTCTTGTTTTCAAATAGGTAGTTACTGCAATTTTTGGTATGTAACCAGCAATAAAACTTCAATATTATTATAATTAATTCTAAAGCTGAGTTTCACCACCTTCATTTAACAGTAACAATAACTGTTGCTTTTTGTATGGACTTTGACAGATTTTTGACGTTTGTCAAAGTTTTAGTAAGATGGTGCAACTCACTCTTAATATTTTTATTGACCGATGGGCTGAGAGGATTTGATCGATTCGTTGCAGTAACGTTTTAAAATTTTATATTTTCTTTTATAACCTACTATTTATTTTGTTCAATTTGAGCTCACTAGTGGGCGCCCGAGACTGGTATTACAAATTTTTGTCAGCCTACCCGTAAAGTCTGTATCGAACCTTACAATTTTGTTCATCTGTCCTGACCGTAGAAAGATTAAGATCGTGTGTACTGTAGTTTCGTGCCAAGTAGAACTAGACATTTTTATAATAAAATGACCAAACTAGGACTTTGTATCTACGCAAATCGAGTGTGCAATTGTTAAAACGTTGAATATGTCTAGCTATTAAGTCAGTCAGTGCCTTATGGGAGCGGCGAGGGGTGACATTGAATGACAGGGCATATAGTTCCAAAATACTGAACTGTCCTATCCATGACATTGACAGTGGGGCGCCACCGTCAATACCGGATCGCTGGTTCCGATTTTTGCCATGCTGGAAACCATATAGTTGAACGATGGTAGCGCCCCCCTGTCATTGAGTTTGGTGGGACAGTTCAAAGTGGGTCATCTATACAAATCTGAAGTCTCGTTGACGTTTGACTGTCACAAAATCACCTACTCGTGCTGCTGTCATACCTCAGGCACTGATTGAGGTAAGCGTTGGACCTATAGGCATAAATCCGTACCGCGCGGGAATAACTTGACATCTCGACCTGCACTTTTTTTTTTTAATTAGCTTAAACGTTTCCTCTACCTTATACCCTTCTGGTATAAAAAACTCAACTCGAAATACCCAAAAATACTTGAAATACAGCTCTTGTTCATAAGTAAATATCTCTAATTTAGGCAATAAATATTTGACATAACGATATATCCAATTAATATTATTCGTACAAACATTTATATTTCGATTTATCAATGTATGTCAGAACATGTATTTGTTAATATCTCGACTTATACATTTATGGATTTTCGTTTTTAATTTGACAAAAACAGTTATCAAGTTATGATCCCCTCTGAGTACTAAACATATCCATGATATGTGCAGTTGTCTAGTTATGCACACTGTCAAGAGTTTGGATATTTGGAGTTATCCAGCTATTACATTCGTATAATCATATTTTTATATGTGTCATTAGCAGTTTTTAAAATATAACATTGTCAGGATTTCGAGTGTCTTTAAATATTTTTTACTTAGCAACCCCTGAAAATATATTTTTAATATATTTAAGCGTTAATTATTACTTTTATTACTATTTTCAATAGTTTAAAACTAAATTAACGTTTAAATAGCAAGTTGAAAGTAGAAGGATAAGTTTAGTCAATAGGTAGGTACTATCTACTAATGTTTTTTCATAACAGACTAAGATTTCGTTTGACAACCGAATATAAGTAAAAAATCTAATAATAAACTTTTAGGTCAACTTTAAGTTCCGGATATTTTTTATAGTCTATTGACATCAATGACATTAATTAGGAATAATGATGAGATAAGTAGGGTCGATACGCCAGATCTCGTCCATTTAGTGAGTTGGTAGATTTGAGGAATAAAAATAATATACAATTTTTCGTAATCATTTTGAACGAAAAATTGTTGTCATTATGCTCCCTTTAGTCTTTATATAGTATTAAACTTGCTCTAAACCATTAGAAGTTTTAATATCTTTGTAATATTAATATAATATAGAAAAAATGCATTCAAAATCACTAATAATTAATAACAGCATGGAAATAAAAAAATATAGATAAAATCTTACTAATTGGTATTCAAAATATTTAGGTATCACACTTAATAATTATAAACATACATTTATATTTTAGTTTATTTCATTTTTTAAAATTTCAATAGTATGGCTCAATTTGCAATAATTATGGTCTCCTCTCTAGGCACAGTTTGCTTTTTAATATTATTTACAACGTCTGTATTTAAAAAAAAATCGTGATAATGTGGACGCAAATTGGCTATCACAAAGGGTAAGCTACATTTGGAGCGTGTATTAGCGTCCAGGAAAAGGCCTAAGTACTGAAAAAAATCTTTGTGTTCGATAAGTCATGTAAATAACGTTTTAAATAATATACAACATGCATTGTTTTGTATATTTTAATATCTTAGACCCAGTTAGACCAGACCGCGATCACTTCTGACGCAAAGTGGAAATTTCATTGTAGTAAATTCGCATCCACCTTATTTTAAGTGTCATTTAATAAAGTACAATCACCGATATCATTATCCGTATTGTATGGTTCATGGTTAAGGCTTAGAGACTGCGGTAAATCCCAAACTAGACCTAAATATATTAAAAACTTACCTTGAAACGCGCACCTGCTCACGTGGGATTTATTTTTGGCAAAAACGGTAGCATGCTATAAGATTTTTTTAATGTGGGTTTACCTGTCATACATTCAGGGAATCATAGCAATAGCTTACGTTCTAGAGTGATCCATCATTTGGACGTGAACTGGACGGTGGACGCGAAAGGGCGTGTCGACCTTACGCAAAAATATATCCAGTTAATTTTAATTATTTTAAGCCTAATGGTAAGCCTAAAATAATTAAAATTAATTGTGCTTGTTATGAAGCATGGCTTTTGTTCTTTTATTTGTCTTTTTTTTTAATTTTAAGTAAACGTACAATTATCTGATCAAAAGCAATCATAATCTGCGATTCTATTTGATTTTTCTAATAAATTTGTTACTATTTCATTGCAAAAGTGATAAAAATATGTTCTATTATTATGTTTTGTTTTTTTACTTAAACTTCATTCAAAATAATTAACTTAAATCCAATTTTTACACCTTAAATGTTTGTTTTTCTTTGGTGAATAACTTGACAAGTCGTCGGTACACAACTTGACAAGTCTTTTTTTTAATAGATTAAGAAGATAATTTAATCAAATTCTTACGCCAATCGAAAGATACGCATCAAATTAGCTTATTTCAATCATAAAAATATCAATCATCATTAATTCCGATTTACCAGAGAACTCTAAACTTTAAAATCGCTCCCCTGAAAAGTACGCAAAAATGACATGTCAAGTTATTCCCGCGCGGTACGGAAATAGCGTATTTTGTATAAGTTGTTCTATTTCATATTGAAAGAACCGCTCAGATTATGGTTTCAATAGTAAAAATATTTATTTAAAATCTCTAGAAATAATCACTATGCAAAATATTATGTTCTTAAAAGAAAATAAAATATTAAAAAAAAACATTTAGGCAAACTTAAGCGGTAATAAATGTGGTGGGAATTATATTACCACTGCCTTATTAAGGGTTAAAACTTCGAGTACGGTCAACAATTGCACACTTTTTGATATTAGCTCATTTTATTAAAGTCTAAATGTAAAAAGATTCTAAAATTTTCATGAAATTTTTAATAGCGCTACTTTACCCCTGGTTTCTCGGGTATATGAAATTATAAAAAAAAACTTTTATTTAACTAAAATAATGTAATTATTTTGAATAATTATTACAGCTCAGAGAATTATTTGTTTAAGGACGTCTTTACACAATTATAGTGTTTTTTGCCACACTTGCCATTTATGAAAATAATTCTTTCATTAAAGCAATATTTGTAAATAAATGGAATAATTTGAAAAATAATTTTATTTATCGTGCTTATATTTTTCTGTTTACCACTTTTCAGCTATTTCAGGTCTCTTATATTTGAAATTTTAATAATAAAAGAAATATAATAATAATTATTAAATACGCATACTATTTTTATGACACGACAGTATTAATCGGTCAAATAAAAAAGTTACTCTCGGTTTTGTTTGCAAATTGCATTTATTTAATTGAATATTTTTTTGCATTTATTTTCATTAATTAATGTAAATTTCATTAAGTAATGTAATCTTGATGTTACACTGAAGATTTATTTTAAATAATACCTACATGATTACATACGAAATAAAATTTATGCATTTGCCTTTTTTTGAATGAGTTTTTTTTGTATAATAAACAAATGTATTTTTATTAACTGTAATACGCCGAGGAATTGTTTAAATTTGTCTATTTTTATGTAAATTAGTTTTTAAGACTATCTACTTTAATAATTAGAATATTTACATAAAAACTAATAGTTTTTATTGTTTTAATAAGGTCACAAGTTAAAGTATAGTTTTGATAATATTCGATGAAAAAAAAAACTGTCAAAAAATCAAAAAAATATTTCATCATTTCGTATAGGCTACAGATTTTTCCTAAACTTTATTTGTAGCTTACAATTTTTATATTTTTTAACGAAAACTATACTGTACCTTGTGACAACTCCAGGTTATTTGTCAGTTGTTCTGTACCTACTGTTAGTTAGATTTCAGTTACTAAATAATGGTTCTATAAAAGACTGAAAACATAAAAAACATGTTTCATTTGTTGACCCATTTCCCAAAAAGAAAAAAGCACATTGAAAAAAAAAATGGTTTTATTTTGTTACTGTTTCATTATTCAATTGACATAAAAAAGAAATTACTATTAGGAGCACCAGTCAATTTGATACATTTACAAGTAAAAATACAATAATATACAGGCAGTAATCAAAAATGTATTTTCATGAAAACATTAAAGAAATAAAAATTACAAAAAATATTGAACGTTAAAAATGTAGGTCAAAAATTGTACCTACGATGAAAGCCATGTAGCCATAGGGTTTAGGTAAAAAAACAGTCTAAAGGGCAATGCATTGAAATTGTTCTTACTGAATAACTATTTTTAAGACTAGTGAACTTAAAATGTTTAGTATTAGTTTACTGACCAGTACTACATTTGTTTCTTGAAATTTCACAACAATTTTCACTACATTTTTTTTTTACATTACATAATTATGTTACATTTAAGTCTTACTATAAAATGTATTTGATGACGTTTTATTATCCTGGGTAGGATACGTCAATTAATTTAGACTAAAAATATATTAAACGAACAAAAAAAGTGGTACAGATTATAACTTTTACATGGAAAAAAACTGAGGAAAAATAAAAACATTAAAATTATTCAAAAGAATGAATAAAATGAGATCTGTTCTATTTAAAACAAAAAAAACTATCATGCCCTGGTCAGATTTGATTCAATTAATGAAGTAAAATTAAACATAAGATTAAAAATATTATTTAGGCACTTACAAAATACGTTACTTCGATTAAATCACTTTTACTTAAACTTAACTGACATTTATTTTATGTGAAACCATAAAATAAATAATGTCGTTGCAAAAATGTCCAACAATTTGTTAGTTGGTGGTTAAAGCTTATTCGCTTATGACGCTAAAGAAAACCAAAACCAAAATTGTATGCTATATTTTTGCATAACTTTCTTTTAGAATATTTTTTTATATAATATTGAGCACATTGTTTATTAAAATACAAAATAAGTTAAAAAAACTTATAAGAATCTTATTAATTTTGACTAAAATAAATTTTCGTTGTAGACTTTTGAACAACACAAACTTAAAATAAATTTTATAATTGGTTTAGTAAGGTATAGTTCGTCTTATCAACTACATAGTTTTAGAGAAATCACGTAAAATCAAATTAAAATTAATTACGTCGTTTTAAAGGCCAATTTAATATCAAATTGTTATGTTATTGTTCCCGCATCCCCTATTGTTTTATTCCAAGGAGTTTTTTGGCGACATGTAACAGATTTTTTAAAGAGGATCGCGACCACATTTTATAGTGTTCCTCCGCAGACTGCGTGTACAAGTTTGAGTGTCAAGTGAAAATTAAATCCACCAAGAACAATCGTAAGTAAAACCTGTGGTAAAACATCTTTTCTATTTGGGATAACAGATGGCACTGTTCTCCTTTAGCTCGCGCTAACATTTGTTTTTTTCCTGGCTTTATATACCTCCTGGAAATGTATGCCCACCCAGGTTCAACTATTAACTTAGCTTGAATCTTAGTAAATGATGCTATTGCCTGTAAAATAGCTTTCATTTTCCCATGCACACCTCGCTATCGTAGGTTGTACACTGCGGTCAAAAGCTGTGTGTACCGCACGACTATTACTGGTCGCGATCCTCATCAGTGAGGGACCGACGAAGAACAGATTTTTTTACCCGGTCGAGTAAACTGCGCATTTGGCACCCCTGACGTCACATCGTCGCTCTGGTACGGACGGGGTGAACGCGGGGCGGTGTGCGGTTAAGTGGGAGGGTGCACATTCCAGCGAGGTGCGCAGTTTGCTTGATTGGATTGTAATGTCCTGGACTCAACACTGATCATCTAAGTAGGTAGGTACTTTATGCCATAATTATCTTCTGTCCATGTCACCAAAATGTTCGTCAGAATAGAACATAATAATATCTCGAATCATTGGTCAAACAAATCTTCATCATCTAAGAAAGAAGGATGTACCTAGTCACAATTTTTTTTCATTAATAAAATTTCAAATGGCCATACAAAATCGTACTTAAAAAATTGGTTTCGTTACAAAATTCCTACATCTTTAGAAAGCACATCCAACTCAATACAAGAATTCCTTGAAGAAATACAGACCAATGTTCAAGTCCCAACGCTATCCTATTTTACCTAAAATTCTAAAAAGCTAGCAGCGCACTAATCAGTAGTAATAAACAGCTGTAGGTGAGCGCCACGCTGTTACTCGTTAGTTCTTGGGAGTGCAGCACTAGTTTATTGTCCTGGGTTCGCTCGGCCACTGTTGCTGGGGTGCCATCTTTGTCGTCCAGCATTTGGTTGGCTGCTTTGAGGTTCTTGATGAGGGCTAGGACATCCTCTGTAACAAATACAATTATTTTAAGTAGTATACTAGCGTTTGCCCTCGACTTCGCCCGCTTTTTCGCTTCGTCACAGAAAGTTATTCTATTCAAAATCAAGATAAAAATCTATTCTATATTTTAAGTATCCCGGGTTTTAAACTATCTGTAAGTACGTAGGTACACCAAATAATTACATCTAAATCGGTTCAGTGGTTTAAATGCGTGAAAAGCTAACAGAAAAACAGACAAAATTATTTTCAAATTTTTTAATAATTACCTACTACAGATTAGGTACTTGTATTTTCACCATCATTACTCAGTTCACTTACTCATTTAAGTTCAATCACTCATTCACAAGTTTACTTTATTACGATTCAAGTAACATTCAGTCAGTCGCTATCCAACCTCCACAGTGAACGGACGTGTCGAGGTTTAATTTGTGAAGTGTTTTGTGAATTGTGTTATACAAGGCGTAGCTGTAGCTGTACTGATCGAGCAAGTCCAGGTTAGTGTTCACTTATTTAATTGTAATAAATGTAGGTATATAGGTATGTAGTTAATTTACATAAAATGTCAGTAATGATTGCAAGGCAATTGGATGATTTGCACTCTCCATTCTGTCTAAAGCCCGGTCGCCACGCACGCCGGGTCATTGGACGAAATTCTACGTGCTCGGCGACCGGACTATATGTAGACGGGTAGGGGACTTGAGGGGCATATTTCTCTCTTAGTCAACTCTGCCTTTCCACACGCCTAATTATTTACTAAAATGTATTTGAAAAAAAAAAGAGAAATGTTTATTCGGTTCTAAAATAAAAAGATACAGTTTAAACCTACGTTCAGAATTTTGATCTTTCGATAATTTGTAAATTCGATATTCTGACCGTTCGATATTTTGATTTTCGATCATTTTTAATTCGATATGGTGGAGGTAACCCCGCATAAGTATGTACCTACATTGTACATGTTGTGAACCAAAATGGCAACCGCTCAGCATGTGTATCCTACAGCCCTGCTCTAAGGAAAACCCAGAAAATGAGGCTGGTCTTCTGTGGAAGCCATTGTTGGAAAGAACCGAGTACAAAAGGCGAACTTGCTATATGACATTCTCCACCAGTTAACCTTAGTTACTGACCTGCTTCCTTTTCACCCTCCTTCCAGTCCACCTTCAGGAAGGTAGTGAGAGACACCTCGTATACCCTGTTGGAGCTGGGCTCAGAGTAGATAGACCGACGCTTCCTGCCGTAGCCTTCAGCGCCGTTGCTGCATTGCACCTGGAAAAATGTGGAACTAATTTTAAAATTTGGGAAAATGTACTCCTTCAGGGGGAAATTAAAATTTGCATTCCTATACAAACTTCGTAGTCATTTGTTAACCTTTATGTGAAGGCAACATCTTATTTTGTTATTTGCTGAATCGCTAAATAAATACGAGTATAATCTAATTTTCGTGGGGCATCCACGGGGCGTCCGAATGGCTTATCACATAGGTCTTCCTTTATTTATTTTACACAGTTGGCTGATTGCCTTACTGCATCTTCGTATCAGTCTTCTTTTATCCCATAAATATCAACTCTTACTGACCCCATGCCAACGGATTAACAAGCTGTAGTGGCAATGGGCAGGGTCTATAGTAGGTACGCAGAACTGACGGCCGATGGGGCAGCAAGTTTCTATAGTGGAGGCCACGTACCGGAAAGCGCAATGTAGGACGTCCACCCACAAGGTGGACCGACGGCCTCATACAGGTAGCAGGCAATCATTGGGGGATGCCTATGTTCAGCAGTGGACGTCCTGTGGTTGAAATGATGATGATGATGATTTACCCCAGGGCATTTATCCAGGCACACGTTCACAGTGCCTATGAACATGACGTAGGTGGTGTCTGGGAACTTGAAGGCCCTGAACTTGGCCACCAGGAGGTCTCCGTCGGTGGTCTGGAAGTTGTTGAAGAGAGACGCGTCCAGGGAACAGCTGGAAAAAATAATTAGTTATGTTGATTAAATGATTAGTAGGAGTTTAAACTGCGTGATCTTGCCTCAATGTAAGCAGAGGTGGAAAAAATACACATTTGATAAACATCTAGACTTAACTGATAAAATGTTTATGAACAAAATATGTATTAATACAGAATAAAACCTAATAATGTACTGGTAATATTCGTAAAGTAGTCCGCTTGGGCCACAAGGCTAGGCAGTTGAGCATGGCAAAATTAAATGAGTCAGTCAAATAATTTGTGACACGTCTTTGTTACAATTGGAATAAGGTTGTGTTGTCAACTTTTTGGCCACTTTAGGGATCACAAACATTTTGATGCTGCCTGTACTTCTTGTGTAAGTGTAAAAAGTCTGAAAGAAAACTCACCCATTCAATATAATCGTCTCCTGCTGATTATCCGTATTAGTCGCGTACATGTAGTTGACGAACAGGCCATATACGGGTGCCGACTCGTTGTCCAAGAAGATCTCCATCGTAAGGTGGGTGCCGGGGCTTACTGAGTCGTTGCGGGGAACACTGGAATAAGAAGTTGATGTTTTGAAGTGGGGCGTAGGCGGGGCGTGAGCGGGGCGTTCGACAATTATAAAATTCATGAAAAAAAGCAAACGGTTGGGTGTCGCAAAATATTTTTTCATACTAGGGGGGTGGTGTCATGAAAAAGGTTGAAAAACACTGCTTTAACCAAATTGAAACGATTAATCGTATATAATTTATTTGAATGGTCATTTTATTTAATTAATGATCCTAGAAACTTATGAAAGCCATCCAGGGACAGACATTTAGGAATTCGTTGAGAGAGTTTCATTGAAAAATTTAGGAATTAGGAAAAATAAGTTAACTCAGATAATAGAACCTTAGATAGTTCTTTAATGTTATTTGTTGTTTTCAAGATTGCTTAAGTCTATTGACACAAAAGAAAGAAAATAGAAATGATTAAATCACGTAATAAAAAATCATTTAAGTTACAACGGGTTATAAGAATCATAAAGACATTTAATTGACTTTTATACAAACAATGGTTTGTGACAATAGGCTGTAAAGCTTTAAGTGGTCGTAAAACATAAAAATGTGGATTAATAATGGAAGCCTTTAGAAATACTTACGGGACTCCGTTTTTCTTGACAATGGCGAAAAGCATCGGTTCAGGTGCATGCCCCGTCTCACTTCGAGTGATGTTTAGAACACTGGGAAAAAAGAAAGAACATAATTTAGTAGGTTGACAACACTACGGGACTTTTCCCACCTCTCGTTCCTAAAGTTGCAACTCCTGTGTAGCCAGGATCTACAGCTTGACCGCCGATAAAAACGACCAGTGAAGGCCATGTTTGTAATTGGGAAAGGCTGTCCAAACGCGACTCTCACTATGCAAGGCACTGGAGTTTGGGACCCCACCTCTCGTTCCCACGCTGCAACTCCTGTGTAGCCAGGATCTACAGCTTAACGGTCAGTAAAATCTCGACCAGCGAAGGCCAAGTTTGTGTCCAACCGCATCTCTCACTATGTTTAAGGCAACGGGTTTCGGGACTATTCCCGCCTCTCGTTCCTAAAGTTACAACTCCTGTGTAGCCAGGATCTACAGCTTGACCGCCAATAACAACCCAACCACGGTGAAGGCCAAGTTTGTTGAGTTATTATGGGGGAAAGGCTGTCAAAACGCGACGAGTTCATAATCATCATCATCATTTCAGCCACAGTCCATCCACTGCTGAATATAGGCCTCCCCCAATGATTTCCACATCGCCCGGTTGGTAGCGGCCTGCATCCAGCGCCTTCCTACTACCTTTATGGGGTCGTCTGTCCTTCTGGATGCACAAAGTTGCCAGACTGTAATAATGATGAGGACAACACTTACTCAGGCTCGTTGAAGTCCAGCGGGAAGGCTTGGGTGTCCCTCTTGACTAGCGGCCGTCCTTTAGGGTTGACGAGACAGCGAGCAAGCACCGTCTCGCGGTCGCCGCTGGCTCCCTCTATGATCACCTTATGGTAGAATGTGCGCATGTTCTGTGAAAGGGTTAAATGGCTGTTAGGATCTTTGTATTCATACAATATAAACTTTATTACAGACGTTTCATGTACCTACCAGAGTACAAAAGGCGTACTTACTACATATTTTATCTTTCGCTAGCTGAGGGACTTCTTAGACCACTCGATTTTTAAAAGGCATAAATACCAAAGCAACCGATATTATGCAGAATTGCTAAATTCTCGTGCGTGTGGCACAGGCAGTGGCTGTGAACAGGGCACATAACTCATAGAGCTGATGGCTACTACTAGTGTTCTTTGAATCTCGAATTCTATTTATTCCAGACAATAAAATTGTAGTCATTGTCATCATCATCATCATAATTTCAGCCATAGGACGTCCACTGCTGAACATAGGCCTCCCCCAATGCTTTCCATGTTGATGGACTGGTAGCGGCCTGCGTCCAGCGCTTCCCTGCTAGGCATCGGTCCACCTTGTGGGTGGACCTCCATTCCAGAACCTTACTGCCCTATCGGCCGTCAGTTCTGCGTACAATGTGCCCTGCCCATTGCCACTTCAGCTTGCTAATCCGTCGGGCTATGTCAGCGACTTTAGTTCGTTTACGGATCTCCTTATTTCTGTCATTGTAGTCTGGAGTCATTGTATCGATTGGTTAATGATTGTTACCGTCATTTTGTTGATGACCCTCGTCAGGCCGCACTTGTAGTACCCGGCTTGCAGGTCCAGCATGAAGGTAGCCACGTTGTTCTCCAGCGTCGGCTGGCATGGCTCGAAGTCTGGAAAAAAGAGTTTTATTATTTAATTTATAGATCTTTTCATCCACGAAGACGCGCCCCACAAATTTTTGGTCAAGGGTAGCGCGGAGTGCGGGGAGTTTGAACTGAGCAATCCGAGCTTCATTATTACAAAATACAAAATAGTTATAAACTAAATACTAGAAAAACAAAACGGGACATAAATGCTCGTTCGTAGATAAGTTCGTTCTATCGCAAAATATGAATTTGAAAAAAAAAACAAAACTTTAGAAAAATTTACATTACAAAATAATGTTAATAACTCCTATGCATTATTATGTTGGTTTACAAAATAGGTTTAACTTTAAATCCTTCTGTAAAATTGATCTGATAAGTTTCCTTTGCCATACAAAATACGACTGTCACTGACTGACTCACTCACTCATCACGAAATTTTAGAAACTACAAGTGCTAGGAGTCTCAAATTTTGCATGGGGGTTCCTTTTAGAACGTAGGTGCTCACTAAGACGGGATTTTGCAAAATTCAACCCCTAAGGGGGTTAAACGGGATCCACGCGTACGAAGTCGAGGGCGGCTGCTAGTATCACATAAAAGTAACTTTAACCCATACAGATGGAAAATAAAATTGAAGGTGTCAGGAATAGAACAAGACTGCAGACTGAATACTAAGCTTTTGAATATTTAACCCCTCGACCTCCATTCTCAGGTAAACGCCTAAAATATTGTCGTTTCGTCTTGGCGAGACAAGCCGTGAAAGCAAAAAAAGTATCGTTTTCGAAAAATAGAATTAACATTTAAAAAATTACATGTAGGGGAGCTATACTAAAAAAATTTTTCTTCAAATTTTTTTTTTAATTTTGTTTTACCGTTTTGTCGGCGTGATTAATATACATACTTCCACAAAATTACAGCTCCCTAGTGCCAATAGTTTCCAAGCAAAACCTCGGACAGACAGACAGACATATCGAAACTATGGGTTCCTTGTCAGGACTACGGAACCCTAAAAATATGAGTATTGAAAATATTTGTGTATTTTAAAGAACACTCAACCTGTCAAACATCACCAAAACAATGGCAAACCTTCCATTTGACCCCAAAAGAGTCACAAAACATACACATACACAGCTAGCGTCACCGTGACATGTGTCACTATTGTGCGTCTGACGTGCAGTGAAAGTATTTTTTACTTCAGCTAATGAATGGGTTCACAGGCAATTAGTGAAGACACATGGGCGGAGTTGGGAGTGTGGTTTGTTAAACTTTGTCAGCAGAAAGTTTTGATGGTTAGCAGTTTATTATGTAGACTAGCGGCCGCCCGCGACTTCGTACGCGTGGATCCTGTTTTACCCCCTTAGGGGTGGAGTTTCGTAAAATCCTTTCTTAGCGGATGCCTCCGTCACAACATCTACCTGCATGCCAAAGGACATCATCCATTTTGGTCCAAAATCAAAAGTGCCGGCCAAAAAATAAAAGTGCTGTTTTCTGATAGAATACGTCCGCCTTAGCATTTATTACTATGGCACCAAAGCTGTAGCACCACTGTGCATCGTAGTATTTGAGTTCTAAAAATATATGAAACGACTGACTTTGATCATGAAGAGTAACAAACATCCATTTATCCTCAAAAACTTTTACATGTAAGATTCGTTAAATAAAGAAATTCGCCAGATTTGAAGTACTAATCTGTTGTATTTAGGTACCAAATACATCCCTGCTCTTTTGCACAATTGAGCGTGTCGACATGCACTCTATTATTTGCACTGTAGGTTTCAAAATCACTAAACAGAATCTCTAACAGTGCGTTCCAGATAACGTGTTTTTTTGTTGGTATGACAATTAGGTATAACTTCAAGTACAGAAAATGGCAGAGTAGACCCATTCATTGTCTCTCTAGACAAGTGTAATTTCGTCATTATCGTCAGGTCATTTAGTCTCCACTGCAGGAGCACGCAGCACGACCCTCTCTAATTGACCAGAGGCAAATGGAGGATTTGTCCTACACTCCCCACGCTGGCCAGACGGGTTGGGGAGGCCTGATGTTCGCATATTTGTCCCTTAGTCGCGAGAGTCGTATTTCTGCAGTGGCGACTGAATGACTTGATGAGAAGGTGGAACTTGGCATGCCATAGCAATCATAAAACGGGACTATTCCCACCGCTGCAACTCCTGTGTAGCCAGAATCTACAGCTTGACTGCAAAAAAACCTAACCAGTGAAGGTCAAGTTTGTCCCGGGGGAAAGTTAAACTGTCATTGGACCCGCAACGAAATTAATCAGAACTTTGAGGAGTTCGAAGTTCAGTTATAAGAGCAATAAGAATGAAGAGTAATTATAAAAGTAGTCTTTTATTTTCTACAAATAGGCTTTTAAAAAGCGCTTTTACAAGTAGGTATTAGTTACTTAAATTCTACCACTGCTTCGGGACAATAAATGGGCCAGTGCTGAGAAGAAGCAGTGTGACGCCCGTATTCACAAACGATGCTTGCTTAAGTGAAGCAGCAAATCGAACGCACAGCTTTGAATAGAGCTCTGTGATTGTTTTGTGTCCCTGTGCGTCCACGCGCTCTGTGAGACCTCATAGTAATGTTTGTGAATAGCTTGAGACTACTCTTTCTAGTTCTTTTAGTGAAGTAATTATGATTGTGCCTGAACAATTACGTTTTCGCGAATTATTTCTCATAATGTTATATGAGCATAACTGTCGTAAGCTTATACTTTTTGCTGGTATGTAGGAGTTACGAAGAAGCTGATCTTTTTCGTTTTAATATTGCTTCGTCATAATAATTATGAGTACCTATTATTATGCTTATTATTTATGAGTATTATATTATGAATATTAAAACCATAATTATGTAATGAATGAGACTACCTATAACTATACAGGGTGGAAAAAAAGTGATCTCACTTGATTATTCCTAAACTGTACAAGATATCGACAAACTGGTTACTGATCCTGAAAGTGCTTCTCGAGCTCTATCAAGCGGTATAATAGGTTATAGAATATACTGGATCAATATTCTACACTTTAATGTTTCCAGCTTCCATATAAAATAATTTAAGATTTCATGGTTTTCCTTTCATTTGATTTATCATGTTTGTTAGAGAGATTTAATTCTTATACTTAACCCTAACGATGGATGCAATAAAAATACAGGGTGTAATTTTTAACAGATTTTTGTTATTTTTAATCCCGGGTGTAGCAAGCAAAATTTTGGAAATCTTTAAAGGAGAACTATTTCTTTAAAAAAAATATCTACAGTATTAAGAGTACTTTCCCTCTAGGTGGCATTATAAAATTCCACAATCTAAACTCTTCCGACTCTCCATTTATTCATAAGGCGGCGAAGATGCTATCAAACGATGTATCGATACAAAGCATCAGTCAATCGATGCATCCACGATTCCATTCATCAGTCATATGCATCGTGTGGCGCTAGGGGTGGGACACGTCGGATACGATACGGATATTTTGACCATTAGGTACGGATCTTCATCTGTAAGACAGGCCAAGAGTGGCCCACTGAGTGTAGACTTAATTTCTTCGCGGGTCAACTGTTAGTTCAACGTTTGCCCGGGACAATCTTAGCCTTCAGTAGTTAGGCTTTTAAACCGGTCAAGTTGTAGATCCTGGTTACTCAGGAGTTGCAGCGGTAGGAATAGTCTTATTACGTGTAGACTTCTTGCACAATGTATTATGACTGAGTTTCATGCTCTGCGTCTTCTTAATACTAGCCAACATTATTGTGCCAAAAAATATAATATTCTGGATAAGAGCGGTTCTCAGATATCTTTGTATGAGTCCTAAATGCACATCAGGCTACACATTTTTGTAAAATAACATCTAATACCACTGCAATAAATGCCACAGTGTTTAGGGCTTGATGCCGTCGTCTGTACATTGTCACTTTCCCAGAACATTATACAGGATGTTAGGTAAATGGGTATATGAGCCGACACTAGCCCATGTTAACATGGGCATATAAATGGTATGGTGAAGTCAGAAAATTATACTGGGATAATCTAACTTCTCTAAAATTGTCGTTGAAAAATCACACCTATTTCAACAGTACATATTACAATTTCTTTCAGCGATGTTAGTGACGTACAGATACTATAGAATTCTTGTAATGTGCATCTAGTTTCGGATATTTTCGGTTCAAGTCTCAAAACCATACATCTCTAGCACAAAGCCTACATGAGGCGAGCAGGCCGTGGGAGAGACTTAATATTTTCTGTGTATGGGATGGGAATCAGGTTCATCCAACGTGTATCATAAAGTTAATATTAGGTACTTCGAAATAGAGCAACGACCACGAGCTGTCAAACGAAACCGATTTTAGGCTGTCACTGATGTCATTTGTGTGTCAGTTGTCAGGATTCTTTCACTATTTTTTACATTATTAATCACTGAACCGGTCACCACGTTTTTGAAGCACTATTTCTCATAAACATCCACGATTTCACTCACGTAAAATCTGAAAATATATCGGAGTTCAGATTTTCAGCGTGCCAATAAGTGCTAACGAACTGTCAAATAGTTGCAAAAAACTGTTCTGTTACGGTTCTGTCACTTCGCATCTCGCATCCCTTTCTAACACACAGTGTTGCTGCTAGTGAGATCTCGCTCAGTCCTTTGTTGCTCTATTCCGCTACTTATATTAACTTTATGATAATAATGCCCGTTTTCACCATAATTCCCTAATTTTTAAGTGACCCCTATTAAAACAAAATTCCTGTTACATATTATGGGCATTAGACTCTTTTTGAATAAACTGATAAAAGTGAAAAGGTAATAAATAAAAATGTTGCACATACAATCATAGTCACAGAGGAATGAAATGAACCACCTGGGAATAGAGCCTAGACTGAACGCCTCCTTATCACGAAAGGGCGGAGGAGTTTTGCATGTTGAGAACGTACACAATAATAAATAATAATAATAATAAATATCCTTGGACATTTCACACTGCGCTTCTAGTCCCAAACTAAGCAAAGCTTGTACTATGGGTACTAGACAACGGATGTAAACATACTTAAATACTTTTTTTTTGTAAATACATACATATTATACATAGAAAACACCCAGTCCAATACAAACAAATATGTTCATGCACACAAATGTTTGTACTGTGCGGGAATCGAACCCGCTGCCTCCGGAATAGTAGTCCGTTTCGAACCACTACACCAAACGGCCGACAAAACAATAACAATACGTACACAAATACAGCTGTTGAGAACATAGCGAATTAGTTGAAGTCTAAATGCGCATATAAATATTGATCAAAGAATTTTATTGCTTCAGTCAGTCTCTAGAAATACAAGTATTAGCCGACCTCGACTTCCCGTTTTACCCCCTTAGGGGGTGAATTTTGCAAAATCCCGGCTTAGTGAGCACCTACATTCTAAAAGGAACTCCTAGCACTTATAGTTTTTGAGATATCGTGATGAGTGAGTGAGTGAGTTAGTGACTTTTCGCTTTCATAAGATAGGCCCCCTTAATTGATATTTATTGTCCGTGGTGCATAATCTTTTCTTAAAGGTTTTAAACCTTTGTTTGTCACCTATCCGCTTTGCAATGGAGGGAAGTCGAACCTTAATTTCGAACTCCTCCTATGTTCTTCTGATTAATTTCTTTGCGGGTCCAATGACAGTTCATCTTTCCCCCGGGACAAACTTGACCTTCATTGGTTGGGTTTTTGTGGCGGTCAAGCTGTAGATCCTGGCTACACAGGAGTTGCAGTGGTGGGAACGAGAGGTGGGAATAGTCCCGAAATTTCATAAAATAATACAGATTAATAGGTCTCAGTCAATGCTGATAGGTCTAACGTTACATGGAGCGTTGTTGTTTTTCTCTCTCATCACTAGCTGTGCTCGTTGTTTCGATTTATTTCGAAATAGAACGTATTTTTTGCGCATAAGACATACGCCCGTATTCACAAACACTACTATGAGGTCTCACAGTGTGCGTGGGCGCACAGGGCCACACACGAACCAATCTCAGAGCTCTATTCAACGCTGTGCGTTCGATTTGCTGCTTCACTAAGCAAGCATCGTTTGTGAAAACGGGCGTAAACCTGTTAAATAAATAAATAACCGATTTTTCTTCTTACCTTTAAATTGATCTAAGTAGGATATCCTTCTGTCTCCATCCATGGGCACCGTGACCTTCATCACCTCTTGCGTGCATTCTACCGTCGCTTCTGATCCTGGAACAAGCAGACAAAAATATTAGGCTTATTTTACCTTATGTTTTTCGTGTTATAAGATACTAGCTGAACTGTACCTAGTTGAATAATAAAGATTAGAACCAGTCTTAGAAGACAACTTATATGACCTTATGCATAATGCGTGTGTGTGACATCATACACTATTTGCATGACCGAGTTCACAAGGTTACATAGTTAATACCTTGATTCCTACTATTGTTGAATATTCAAAACTATACGCTTTGTATAGAATACTCGCTGCAACTCCTGTGTAGCCAGGATCTACAGCGTGACCGCCAATAAAAACCCAACCTGTGAAGGTCGAGTTTGTCCCGAGGAAAGTTAAACTGTCATTGGTCCCGCAACGAAATTAATCAGAAGAACATACGAGGAGTTCGAAGTTAGGCTTAGATAGACTGTTTCGGAATGAGTTTGTATTGTAATTAATTTTATTACCTACAACAAAACCGCGGGGAGTACCTAAGTACCTATTAATTCCACAAAACCGAAATATAACAACTGACCGGAATTTGATACTGCATTGTAACCCAGCTATTAAACGTAATAACAATTATAATAAACTTAGCATCAGTAATAAGTGTCCGAGTATCAGAATCATAGTATAGGGCTGTCGCGTGGAGAACCAAACGTTTCATTATCTGTGGTTAGCGGCCAAATGGCCACGTTTCAAGGCTGTGAATTTGGAGTGACAGCTGTCAATCATGGCGGCAAAATCAGGGCACGCGTGCAAATAGGGTAGTCCGTAGTGAACACCTTAGTCAAACTTACTTTACTTTCATTATTTTCTGTCGAGTTCATTATAATACACTCATGCTAGCAAGACTGGCTATATTATGTCAATCTTAAAGTTGTAATTTATTATTCTTATAATTTTATTTATTTTAAATGCAAAACAATGCTCAAAACTTGATTTAAACTCAGTTCTTGCCTTTTGTATGACCTAAGTAATGAATTTTCTTTGAATTTGAATTGTGCGTTCAATCATCTTTAAGCACTGCACCACTTTAGGCTGTATGTAAGACCGTGAGCATAATATCACTTCTCTCTCTACATATACAAATTATCTCTCGGTCTCATGTATTTCTTATAATTATCGACGATACGTCGAAATTGTCATCAACTCAGAGTTTATGAAAAACCAAAGTTTTGAGTTTCATTATGTAATGTACCCTAAATACCAAAGTGGCAGCCCTAACCTGCATTCATTAAGCCCGAACTTCACACGCGAGCGCCCCCGGCCGAGCGGAACGGGCAACAACCAAGGGATCAGAGTCAGACCATAGACACGCCATAGATAATGGTCCGTAGACTAAAGACGGTGATATCGGCTGAATATAGAAGAAAGAAAGAAAGAAAGAATAATTTATTTGGCACAAAAAAAGAAACAATAAATCAGGACATTAAAATGGAAATAAAAAAATAAAAATAACAAAATAATACTTAAATGTCTATAAAGGCGATGTGCCAAAAAGGACGCCCACTCAGTATATCCAGCCAGCTAAATGCATAGTAGTCATTTCGTCTATCATTGATATTAAGCCTAGGCGCAGACCACCGATTTTTAGTCGGCCGATAGTAATTTTTATGAAATCAATCGGTGTAATGTGCGCACTTCCATACATGCCCATACTGATTAGCTGCCCGACTAAACTATCGGCCGACAAAAAGTTTGCAGTCTGCGCCTACTTAAGCTTCCGGAACTCAACAATTTTTTTACGGATTTGCTTGATTAATTGATAAAAAATCTCAATAAAACTCATTTCGTTCGTTCGTTTCAGCCAAATGACGTCCACTGCTGAACAAAGGCCTCTCCCAAGTCTTTCCATAATGAATGGTCCTGCGATGCCCGAATTAAGGTTCTTCCCGCGACCTTTAAATAAATAAATAAAAAAACGTTTATTGCTTTAAGATCTTCAGTCCATCTAGTTCTAGTAGGAGGCCTTCCCACGTTTTCCAGCCCATGGTCGCCACTCGAGAACTTTTCTGCCTCAAAAACTCATTTGTGTTGTGTAAGTAGGCTCTCAAAGAGAACTTTTACACGTCCCAACCCTACCACTGCTTCGGGATAGTAATATGGGCCAGTGCTGAGAAGAAGCAGTGCAAGAAACTCCGCAACTCATTATTCAGTTCGTCTGTCATTCATTATAACCGATTTCAAAAAAAGGATTCTCAATTCAACTCCAACTCAGCCTTATAACTATGAAATTGGTCAGGGAGTGTACCTACATTTTATTAAACATTTGTTAATTGATTCACGCCCGTATTCACAAACATTACTATGATGTCTCACCGTGGTGGCACATGGTGACACACGAACCAATCACAGAGCTCTATTCAACGCTGTGCGTTTGATTTTCTGCTTTACTTAAGCAAGCATCGTTTGTGAATACGTGTGTTAGAGGTCTCGCAGTACGCATGGACGCCCAGGGTGACACATGAACCAATCACAGAGCTCTATTCAACGCTGTGCGTTTGATTTTCTGCTTCGTTTGTGAATAGGGGCGTTCAATCTATTTCTCAAAAGTTTACGGTTGTTTCCGTAGCTAAAGTTTAACTAGACAGGCACGATAATTAATTAGATAGCAAGACGTAAATCCTTACCATCAGTGGGCATTGATAATGAGCAGAGCCACGGCCCGTGACTAGTCCCTTGAACCCGCGATGGTATCACGGTTTTTGTAGTAATTCAGTGAACTTTCGAGAGTTCATTTTGACAGTGATCAGTGTCAATCAAGATTTTGTTTAAAGGTATTACACGAACTATAGTTCAACTATAATAGGTTCCAACGTGGCAAAAATCGGAACCAGCGATCCGGTATTGACGGTGGCGTCCCCGTCAATGTCACGGGTGGGACCGTTCGTTGTAGTTCATCTTTAAAGAAGTTTTTGTTGGGGATTATAAAGTGCAGGCCAGATGCTCATTCTGTAGTAAACTAGAGAGGTGTGCTCCTGCAGTGGTGGAGATTAAATTAGCAAGATTTTTAACGGGATTCCCACCTCTCGTTCCCAATGCAACTCCTGTGTAGCCAGGATCTACAGCTTGACCGCCAATAACCCAACCAGTGAAGATCAAGTTTGTTCCAGCGAAAGTTAAACTGTCATTGGACCCGCAACGAAATCAATCAGAAGAACATAGGAGGAGTTCGAAGTTTTGCTGGATTTGTAAAGACATTTTCAGTATTGTCCGATATTACACCTTGGCGTGTCGGGAGCGGCGCGGCGCAACTCGCACGGTTCACGGCGCATACTATAGTCACGGCCCGTGATTTTGTGAGGATTAATATGCTAATGTTGTTGTTGATGTACAGCTGATCTGATAGTGCCAATAGTGTTTTTGGGTGGAGAGTGTAACAACAAATGTATAATGTCTTGAAAAGAGTTTGAATAATATTTCCTGTTTTTGCAACATTTTTCGTTACTGCTCCGCCCTTATTGGCTGTAGGGTGATGTTATAATAATAGCCTAAAGCCTAATATTAGTAAGATGTAAAGTTTGGTAAATTAAGTGTTAGTTATAAGGTTTGTATGGATGGCTATAATTTATGACGATCTGTGACAAACTAAATTTCACGCGGGTGAAGCCGCGGGCATAAGCTATTCAACACAAAAATATTTTTTTGAAATCGTATCAGAACAAAAAAACAATCATACATAGATTGTGGTCTAGTGTGTTCAGTTAAGTCCAATATGGGTCAAGTAACAAATGTTTTTATTTCTTGATCATTCGCCACCCTGTATTTTAGAATGCAGAAGTATAAAATATTATTATCAAGCATACCCGCGGACAGTAGCCAGTATTTCTGATTTATCTGACCAATGCGGAAACCATCTGTGCCAAACAGCAGCGCTGGTTCTCAAAGTGTGTGTTATGTTGACCCATAGCTGGGCATTAACNCTTATTTAGTTACTATGTTAAAAAATGTGGAAAAAATCGCCCATGACGGCTTGGACAATCTCAATCAGTCGCGCGGTGGCGCTTACGGAGGATGGACGCGTGTCAGTTTTTTGGCCGTGACAGTTCGCGATTTGTCAATATTTTTGACAATGATGACTTTGATGAGTCACAGTATAATAATATCAGTGTTACTGGGGAAAGCTAAAATTATTGATAATTAAGAATTATTAATTATAAAAGAATTAATTAAGACCTATTGAAATTTAAATCGTTGGCATCCTTTTAAACTATGACTCTACTCATGATACATAGTACATTCCTCAAATATGAGACAAAACCAATGAGTTAAAATTACACTTAACTTACTTACTACATTTAATAGTACCTACATACAATCGTCTTACACTCTTTATAAGAGCACACTGACACAAATAAATAATAAAAAATTATGTCAAATATAGGGGCAGCTGCACGTCACTGAAAGACGATTCGGTTTACTCGGCATCTGGGCTGTAGAATATGAATCCTTGCTTACAGAAGCAGATGTAAATAGAGTTACAACTGGACAAATTTTACATGAAATGTTTAAAAGGAATCAGTTAAAAGACACATACATGGAATACCAATAAGGTTGCGGAGGGAAAGCTACCTATTATAAACTAGCGGCCGCTAGTTGTATATTTGTTAAATTGTATGGGGTAATCTCGGGGTCTACTGAACTGATTTTAAAAAATCTTACACCAATAGAAAGCCACATTATATCTGAGTGTAATAGGTTATATAAAAACCTGAAAAGTCAAGCGAAGCCGCGGGCGGAAAGCTAGTTTATTTACAATTATGTAAGAGCATAATTATTAAAGTCGAAGTCAAACATTCTTTATTTGTGTGGATCTATATTAACGAGAGATTACAAGGCGTCAAATATTTCAAGAAAAAAATTAAAAACTATTATAAAGCTACATTTTGCTCTCATGGAGCCTTTACTTACTCTGACAAATTAAGACTTAGAGAAGAAACTAATAATAAAACTATTTAACTGTCCTGCAATGAAAAGCTTGATCGGATACAATACCTCAAGTTATTTCAGAACTTGATTTCATTAAAAGACTCCGAATATTAAATCGCTTAGGTATCTAAAGTCAAACGATTCTGAAATGTCAAGTGGCATAAAGTTGGGACTAATGAATAACCCATTAAGATAGTAGCGCCCTCCTGTCAATGACATACCTGGAACGATAGAGTATTGGACAACTAATAAAAATGCTTTGTAATAAATGACTGACGGACATCGTAGAGACCTGAAAGTTGGAAGGTGTGTTCTTTGTGTGACGTAGGCATCTCATAAGAAAAGATTTTCCGAAATGGGGTCATGAAATGAAGGGAGTGAAAAAAGGGGGCAAAGTTTGTATGGGACAAAGTGATTTCTTGGTTCAATCTATTTGAAATTTAGCTTAACAATTCCTTAATATAATTCATGAAAGACGTGTGGAACGGGTAGAAGGTAATTTTGGCAGTCACTTTCTTCGAAGTTGATATCAATACTATATAGAGCCTGTCATGATTTTTAGAAAATATTGTTATTATTTTAGTGAATTTAAAAAAATGTTACGATTTTAGTATATATTTTAAAGTTAAAAAGTGGCAACACTGTTAAAAACTTCAATCTTGTTTGGCAAGGAAGTGGTAATGTGGAGGGGATAGAGAGGCTTGTTGTAGGCCTAGAGCTCACTCAGAATCATTACTCTGTTAGCTTCGATAGAACTCAGACCACTTGACGAATCTATGTCCGATAGCTGTTATAATAATTATTGTGAGTTGAATATTGAGTAATTGAAGTGTAAGTGTGTAAGTGGAAATATACTCGAGTTTGGCTGGAATAAAGTGGTTTCTTTTTAATAAAATGTTTTTCCAATCGCTCAAGCTCCCGAGGACCTAACGATAGGTCGGGTGACGTAATCTTGAAAATTCCGGAAGGTCGGGTGACGCCACGCCTCTTTGAACCGTGTTTACTTTGGCAGTTATATTTTATATTTATTCGATTCTAAAATATATTCCCAAAAATTCTGAAAGTTGTTTTAATTTGTATCACTTGGATATGATTTGTATTAGAAAGTGCTGTGAGTGTGACGCTTGAACGGAAGGAAGTCAACCTAACCTAACCAACTGGTATTTCTATACTGTGTAGCCGCGAGAGCTCTTTGGCGCGCTGTCTTCGGCGAAGTATTGCGCGCGCAGATTTTGACAGCGCGAAATACCTACTTTAGCAGAAATACCAAGCCTTAACATGTTATTTCAGCACTTCAGCAGTTGTATTTAGAATATTATTAGTAATAGTCCAGTCAATGAATGCTTTAACGACGGTGTAGAGAGAAATCCCTGGAACACAATTTCTGACCTTGGGACTTTATTTAGACTAGTTAGGAGGAGAACATAGTAAAAGTCCCCGCCCTTTTGCTATGTTCACCTCCTAACTAGTCTAAATAAAGTCCCGAAGTCAAAAATTGTGTTCCACGGATTTCCATCTATAATGCTTTATTGACTGGACTATAAGTCGATAATAAAAAGAACATAATTAATTCTAGCGGCCATGAGATTTTAAAACAATACATTACATAATGTAACTGGGAGGTTACAAAATGAATGGTGAACCTCTTTACTTCATACAATACTTGTACATTTACAAAAGGCTTTTATAGAAATTACTGTTATAAAATGAATTGATTTCTAAAAATAGTTATTGAGCAAGGCTTACGCCCGTATTCACAAACATTACTATTAGGTCTCACAGTGCGCGTGGACGCACAGGGTAACACACGGACCAATCTCAGAGCTCTATTCAACGCTGTGTGTTCGATTTGCTGCTTCACTTAAGCAAGCATTGTTCGTGAATATGGATGTAACTGTGTGAAGTATGAAATTTACTATTGCTTTACAATTACAACAATACAAGTAATATTTCACACAAATCGATAAAATCGCCTACTCCTATAACAGTTGACTAATGACTGGCAAGAATAGAAAGCGTTGTTTTTAATTGCTATCGATAACGGTCCCTTGGAAATAGGGTTTAAATAAATATCGAATAACGTTACGACATAATGTAAAATGTAACACACATGAAACAATTCATTGAGGTTTTGAATTGTCCTTTTAGTTACAAATGAGTTAAATGCATTTTCTTTCTATATTATGAAGTCTCGAAAGTGCTTTCAAGTTGCAAGTTAGTAATTATGGCCTAAGTAAGTAATTAGAGATGATGCACTGAAATTAACAAAGTACTAACATAATTTTAAAGATTACTCATCATTTCTTTAATTTCTAATGGTCATAAATGATAATGTTTGTTTATGAGTTCCTTATCTCCTTAACACTGTGATTTATCTTCAGCCATTAATTCGAATGGCTCAATGGTTCAAAGTGCATCATTAGAAACTTACTTGAAAATGAATCACCTAACTTATTAGTTTACATTGTTATTACATTATTTAGGGTTGCCTTCTCAGTTGTTAAAAACCGATTGAGCAACTTACGATTAAATAATACGAAAAAAGAAAGGAAAATAAACTTACCTAACTATTGGAGATCTATCCCGATGAGGGGAGAACGGATTCGCATGATGCAGCGACGCCTCACGAAGCATCGGCACGCGATGTCGTGGCGACAACTCGCGGTGTCGTGGCGAGAGCTCGCGATGTCGTGGCGATAGCTCACGATGTCGCGGCGACACTTCATGTCGCATCAGCGGCGGTGTGGAAGGCGACACGGGCGAACATGACCCGTTCCGGAGAGGAGACGAGGCCTTCTCCCACTCACTGACCGGCACTTTTTCGTACCGAGGCGGGCTCTGGGCCCGGGCCGGCGTTTCGGTAGGCACGTTGTCGTCGGGAGACACGCTCTCGAGGCTCGCCGACCGCGAGTGGTGCCTCGACTTCTTTTTTTTCTTTTTTTTATCCTTCTTCCGTTTCTCTTTCTTCTTCTTATATCTTTGCTCGTCGAACTCCGGCTCCTCTACATATTCGAGCCCCCGGCGCTTCCTCGACGCTGCCGAAGAAGAATCATGCGTGAGAATGTAATCGTCGCGGCGGCTCGACGTGGTTACGGATATCGTCTTGTTGTCCACAAAGGTGCGGATGGGATGCGACTTCCTCGTGCGGTCGAGGTCGTCTGCGATGTGCCGGCTGATGGAGCTGGCTTCGCTCTCGATTTCTCCGGCTTCCGGCGCCGAGAGCTCCTCGGAGCTCACATCGGAATACTCCACTAGAGGTTTGACAGAGTTGACGGTAGCGTAAGATTGTTCATGAGTACCGTGGATCCTGTACTTCTTGTGCAAGCGCTTCTTATGCTTCTCCTTGTGGTGCTTGCTGTGCCGTTTTTCGTAGCTTCGCTCCATGATGCGGGGGCGGCGGGCCCGCCCGGTGCTGGCTTCTTCACATTACATCAACTGAAACAATATGAGATAAAAATAATGAGAACTATTTTATGTAGCACAAAATGTACCAGATACAAGTGACAAAATACACACAATGACAATAGGGAATCCGTCACCGTTCACAATTATAATTCCTTGAATGAACTAATGTAAAGTTTGTAGGTTCGATTCCCACCTAATGCAGTTAGATTTTTCAAGTTGTTTATTTAAAATTAATGAAAAGTTGGCTTATTTTAGTTTACATGAGAGCTTCATAAACTGCGGTCATAGTCACAAAAAAGGTAAATTCCCAAGGGCCTTTGATCAGTTGTCTTCTAGATCATTCTATGGACACAGAGCATTTTGATCTATAGGCAATTCGGAAAAAAAGTTCAATAGCTAATGATATACAATGTCGTATTTGAACAATGTTCAAATGATTTTTTATCATACTGGTTGGTAGGATTAAAATTATATTGGGGCTTGTACATACAGTTAGCACATCAAATTTTTGTTGCAAAATAATACCTATTCCAACCCAGCTTGATGTGCTGTCTGTACAAGACATTCTACAAAAAAGAATCATTCCTGAAGAACATGAATATTCAATCAAAAAGAGATCTAATTCTATTGCGATGTTTTGTGTGGTATTTTTACTTCATAAGTGTTATACTTAATTTAAATTAATTTGTTCATTTATTTTTAAATTATGTCACTGAAAGTCATTTTTTCTACATGATCACAATAGAATTTTCTGTAAGTAAAAAGCACATAATTAAGCATACATTATTTTAATTTTAAATCATACAAGAAGAAATATTTATTGGCTTATCAGTATTTTTTCCTATCACTACAAAACATTTGAGTCGTTATCAGCTGATCAATGTGGGTATAACTCATAGCAATTAAATTAAAATACCACGAATATACACAAAAAAAATCAAGGGAACTAATTGGAAAGAAAGAAAGAAAAAATATTTATTTGGTATCTAAGTAAATTAGGTACGAACGTAAATTTCACACTTACTGCGTCCACCATTTGCAACAACTAACTTAAACCGAAACTGATACAAAATATTATTTCTTTGAATTAAATTTTTGTGCTGACTGTACCAAATACTACTGTAAAAATTTTACTCTAAAAACACCACGAATTTTGCCAGCCGCATTAACACCATGTGTGACGCGAATAACACTCAAAGATCTAACGATAATAAAGAAAATATCTAAAAATAATCATTCGGACACATTCCCACGTGGACACAGTTGCAAACTGACACAATACAGTCAGTCGAATAAATGAAAGTGAAATGAAAAATTTATGAACATTAAAATAACTATACAATGTGAGTAACGTTAAAGTGTACATATGAAAATAGATGAAATTAGACCTATTTTTATCGACAAAAAAGAGGTCAAAAATTTTTTGAGATTTTTTATTTTTATTTTTTATAGAATTTTTTTTCTTCCAATTACTTATTGTAAAGAAAACGTAATAACTTTTAAACTAAGCGGTATATCCTGATAAAATAAAAACAGTAATAATGCAAAATAACAGGCGAAACTAAAAAAATACATAAAATACACAAAAAATGCCAACAAATAATACAAAATGATACTTTTTGAAAAAAATCTGCTTTTAAATTCGTGTTTTTTTTGGGTATTTGATAAATTTCTCCAAAAAATGTCCCTATAACAGGTGGTTTTTATTACTTTGTATAGTTGTATTAAGTATTCTCTATCATATTATCTTTGTAAAACCTAAAATCGCATGTCTCTATCCCCATCACAACATTTGCTATGATCGTTTGAACAAAGGCCTGCCACAACATTATTCTCCGCTACAGGTAGAGACAATTTTAATTTTAACTAAAATGCTTATTTTACTTCGAAATCTTTTGTTTTTATTTGAAATCTAACTTGTCTTTATCAAAATTACAAATCTAGAGCCATTTTCAGTTTCGTTGTTAACGAAGCGTTGAATGGCGCGCCCGGAGAGGCTTAGTTCAAACGATCATTGCAAACGTTGTGATAGGGATAGAGACATGTGATTTTTGGTTTTACGAAGGTAATACGATAGAGAATAATACAAAGTAATAAGAACCACCGGTTATAGGGGCATTTTTTGGAGAAATTTATCAAATAACCAAAAAAACACGAGTTTAAAAGCAGATTTTTTTCAAAAAGTATCATTTTGTATTATTTGTTGGCATTTTTTGTGTATTTTATGTATTTTTTTAGTTTCGCCTGTTATTTTGCATTATTACTGTTTTTATTTTATCAGGATATACCGCTTAGTTTAAAAGTTATTACGTTTTCTTTACAATAAGTAATTGGAAGAAAAAAAATTCTATAAATTAAAAAAAAAAACTCAAAAAAAATTTGACCTCTTTTTTGTCGATAAAAATAGGTCTAGTTTCATCTATTTTCATATGTACACTTTAACGTGACTCACACTGTATTTTATTACAATTAAAAACTAAATTGAACAGAAATAAGCATCTTCGCGTACTTTCACTATATCAATAAAATAACCTATACATAACATAGACCAATCAATAAAATTTACCTTGGCTTTTATGAGGGGTTAGGAGGTCAGCTAAAATTCAGATTTCGTGACGTTTCCGCACATAGATATGGAAAGACTAGCGGCCGCCCGCGACTTCGTACGCGTGGATTCCGTTGTGATCGAGTGTTCAATAGATATTTTATCAACACAATGTATAATTATTCGTATTTTTTTGTCAAAATAATAAAACTCTATACTTATTTTAAAAAGTAAAGCTGTTGACGATCTCCCAGTATTTTTTTCATAATCAGGGCCATAGAAATACCCAATAACAGAAAAAAAATTAAAGGAAAAAAAACATGTGTTGACCAGTGTAATTGTACCAAGTTTCGTTAAAATCCGTCGAGTAGTTTTTGTTTCTATAAGGAACATACAGACAGACAGACAGACAAAAATTTTACTGATTGCATTTTTGGCATCAGTATCGATCACAAACGGCAGACGAATACATACCCATGACAATTAACACATTTTTTTATTTTTTGTTTCATTAAAACATTTAACTGATGATACAATAATTGATGTGTCCACGTGGGAATGTGTCTGATTGAAAATGTGTCCCGTTGAAATTGTGTCTCGTTGGAACCAAATCATCATTCGGGAATCACTTGCAAAAATGTTCACCATTTTGGCAGATAAAGGAACCACAGGAAATAAGTACAAAATAAGCTTATAGTAATATAAATAAAGATGTAAAGGACTTACCAGGAAGTTAAACGGGCGTGTGTCCGACACAAACACAATTTAATATTTTTGCAATGTACTGAATTGTGATAAGGCTAAGTTTTATTTAGCAATTTGTACAAGTTTGGCAAGCTTTCTGCTGCCAATATATTGTCATCAATGTTCTTTCTAATCTTTACAGACTTATTTTGCTAATCATTATCATAAAGAGCGCATAATTCATGTAATTACATCGGATTCTTTTTATTAGGAATTTGAGAACGTAGATTTAGTCAGCCATTTGCTTTTTCTTTCATCATCTGCTAGTGCTGTTTAACTTCCTAGTGGTCGATAGTTACCACTTCATTCATATCGATATTTTAAAGGAAGCTCTGTGTTGTATGTTTTTTTTATACGTACTTAATAAAATTACACTTGTAGTAAAATTGCGAAACACGGACTGGAGGTTGTTTCAGCTTTCTTTTACGTACTTTAATATTATACACAGACACAGTACACAATACAGTTAAATAATCGACGTTTACAGACAGAGGCAATTAAACTGACAATAATGTTGGCGAGAGGTTAGATTTTGGCCGTCTCACAGACTTGACTGTAGGCGGGCAAGCGGTTAGTGGCAGTGCAAAACGGGTGTTATTAATGGTTTCACCATTAATCGCGTAGCAAAACCGAAGCGACCGACACACGTTCCCGCGCTCATCCAAATTTTGGCGAGGAGTAAGTATTCAAATAGCCGTTCGTTACACACTGTTCGTAATCAAGATAAGCAAATTAATAAATAATCACAAAGCAGTTAATAAACGTTTAAAACCCTACACTGCGGAACAAAAGGATGATGCTATTGTAAGTAAAAAAATTGTCAATTCAATGTGATGGTGTGATTCAGTGGGCGGGGCACATAGCTCATAGAGCTGATGGCCGCTAGGGCAGGAAAGTTCTTGAGTGGCGACCACGAGCCAGAGTACGTAGCGTGGGCAGGCCTCCCACTAGGTGGACCGACGATCTGGTGAAGGTTGCGGGAGGTGCCTGGATGCGAGCGGCGCAGGACTGTTCTTTGTGGAAATCCTTGGGGGAGGCCTTTGTCCAGCGGTGGACGTCTTTCGGCTGAAATGAACGAACGAACGAACACGCGGCCACAGTGTCAACTATACATTTCCGTTTTTGCTATCGCTCTCATCAAATGGTGATTCTTTGCGATAGAACAAGACGACATGACTGGCAATGGGCAGTTAACACTGTTGCCGATAGTACAATAATTCAATTTCATTGAATGTAATACATATTTATTAATTTGTATTGATAAATCCCATTCATTAGCAAGTATTCAGGATGTTTTTGTAAAGTGTCAAGAAACCTGTTGTGTAGAGGAGATAGATTATGCATGATACCTATTTTTTGAACCCCCATATATGTATGTTCAGCAATTGTGTGATACTGATTCCTGTACATGCAAATAATATTACGCCACTGGCACTAGTACCTTTTTCGCCTAAACTTTCGTTGGACGACCTATACATACATAACCTCACATTGATTGGTATAGAAACTATCGATATTTATCCTAGTAATACTGCAATGCACTAGCACATCACTTGTGCACCTTGACCGGAAATGTCAATTCCACAGATGGCGCGAAATTTTGAAATCAGCTTGTCAATTAATTAAATTTAAGTTTTAAATTAAATTAATATCAGAATACTTATCACTAAATATTTAATTATATAAATTAAAAATAAAGCTTAAACTTATTGAAGCTTTATTTTAGGCTACTACATTTTCATTACATTAATTTGCTTGGCACAAGGAAATGTGCTTTTTTTTTACAAAAAGAGGGATTAAGTGTTGCATGCATTAAAAATGTAAAAAGCGTGTGTGCCCGTAGCCTGCTTAAGTGGGCAATGTGACCTTCCTTGATTTCTCAAAAACTTATTAACACGTGTCATGGAATTTTTACATCTAATTAGATTGTAGGCGTCTGTCAGTATTATAATCAATTTGAAAAAAAAAAACAATGGAATATTTTTTTAATATATTAATAACTAAACGAACTTGCTTAGCCATGCAAAGCCACGACGAAATACATGGAAATCTAACTAAAAAAGATTATAGATATATTAGGTATTCATAAAAATTAAAGTAATGAAAACAAATAAATCTAAAGGTGAACTTAGAAGGGCGAACTAAATCAACAAAAACAAAATTAATTCAATTTATTTATTTCATAACCTGGTAACACTGACAGTTTGCGTGCGAATTGCGTCCTCATTCAGACAGCACGTATTTTGCTAATTAATTAAAATAATACAACAGTAAATCACTTTTTTCGAATTGATTCATTACAAGTGGAATGTATAGTGATGCATAAAATATTAGTTCATTATGTCCTAGTAACGGAATACTCTACAATGACCCTTGAGTTCACGGCTGCATTTGCTTGCGCATCGTGATATTACCCAATTTGGTGAAGAAATTCCAAACATTCTATCCGTTTGTTTTGTTTATTTTCCGCAGATCATATTCACATGAACGCCTGGAGGTTGTATTCTGTCTGTATCAGTTGCAAATGCTGCATTATGGTTATGATGTTCATAATCGAGTCATTGAACCTAGTTGCGGCGTGGTGACACTGTGCTGTGGTTTGTGGGTCGTAAATATGTAAATAAACATGAACGATATCAGCGTAAAAATAGTGGAATCAGTGAAGGAGCAGCCCGTCGGTGATGAGACGCCCTCGGCTGGTATCCTTGCGGATAATGCGGTGGATCCATTGGCGATAGAAGACAGTGCCGTGGGTGTTTCAAAGACTCCTTTGAATGAAGAGGGCACGCCAGAGATTGTAATAAAGGCGGGAATCTGTGATGAAAATGCCAAAGATGAGAAGTCCAGTGAGAGTGATAGGAAGGAATGTGATAAGTTAGTTGCATTACAAGCAGAAAGGATAAAAGGTAATTTAGTTGTAAAATGGCTTGCTCAAGAATTTTTTTTAATGTTTAAAAAAAATAGAGCAAAGGTTTTGTTCTATAAATCTTACTCACAAGTACTTTTATATTTTTATTGATGGTAGATGCAAATACAATTGACACTGAGTCACCATACAATTTAATAATTATTTAAATCTATTGTGAGCTTCATTGATTGCCTCATTGATTGATATGATTTTATAGTTGTTAGTGTTTAGTCTAATTCGTAAAGAGCTTGTTTTAGATCAAGGTTACCTAAGTAGGTTGTTTGATTTGAAGGTTTGTATTTATTTGATGTCTAAACTACAGTGACAAGTAGCATTAGTGTTGAAATAATACCCATATTATAGTTAAATACCAAGCATAATATTCATTACAGTAAAAAATCCTTTTTAAAATGAATATAACATTTTCAGAGGAATTACTCAAAGAGGATAGCAACTCTCCCTGTTTTGTCGAGCCGTCCGAAGAGAAGGCGACACTGGTTCATGATGCAGAGACTCCGGTTGAGGCAGAGCAGACAGAACCAGTTGCCGAACCAGTTGCAGCTGACGAGGAGCCTATGACGGTTGATGAGCCCGTTAAGGAGCCTGAGACTGTAGCCGTAGCTGAAGCCCCTAAAGTAATTATAGTTGTAGTATTTTTTTATGTCACACATTTGAGGTTTTCTGTTTGTTTTTAAAAAAATAAGTATGTTCAGGACTTCAGTTTTTACAAGATTCCTATTAGTCAATGTGTTGATTAGACAATAAGGCTGAGTTGTACCATCTTACTTTGACAAAAGTCAAAAATCTTTCAAACTTCATACAAAAAGCACCACTTTTGTTAAAATAAGCTGGTGCAACTCAGCCTAATTGAACAACAAAATGTCACACACCAATATAATTTTTAACCTAAATACTTTGTTTGAATTATCTTTTGGATCAACAATCTTTTCATAATATAATTCTAAAATTGCATAACATCTCTTCCAGACCGTTATCCCCGTAGAAACACCTCCGCCTAAGGAACCCAGTCCTCCCAAAGAAGTTCTACCGGTTGTTGAAGTTCCATCGACGGTGGAAACCGATGTAGAGATGAACGAAACACCAAAAGCTGACGACAAACCTGAACCCCCCAAGGATCCCAAGCCTAAAAAGGAATCTGTAAATGGTGATGTTAGTAAGGGAAGTCATAAGGTGAGGATATAATAATAATTTCTTTTTTTGCCTCTTGTTGGTACAATAGCACATTGTAAATGAATAATTTAGTAACATAAATATTTGTAATACATGTTGTTTTGCAGCAGAAATGTTAAGCTGATGTGCTGTTCACTGTATGTACAATGTTTACATTTAATTTTGTTAATCTGGTAATGGATAACAAAATTGATGCAATATTATTTTTGGAGTAAATGTGGACAAACATGATACTCATTTTCTTAAAAATTTTGCCAATAGTAGATTTCTAATATTTCTTCTCTAAAAAAGTAGATTAATTTTGTTTATAAAAAAAAAAAGTTTTGTTTAAAAAAGTATTTAAGTATGTTTATATCCGTTGTCTAGTACCCATAGTACAAGCTTTGCTTAGTTTGGGACTAGAAGGGCAGTGTAAAATGTCCAAGGATATTTATTTATTTATTTTATGGGGGTATTAAAAGAAGTCTTCTTGAGGTTTACAAAGTCTTATGTGGAGGGTACAGGAAAATGTATTTTAAATAATTAACGAATAGCTCCTTTTTACCAAGATCAATGTGTTCACATTTACATACTATAATAAAATAGAGGTCAAACATCCACTCATGATAAGACATATTGACTGCTGACTTTTGAAGGTGAAATTGAGACATAATACAATGTCTTAGAACCCCGAATTCTTGATGATTTTGGATGTCAATCATTTTCACTGTAGACATAACCTTTGACCTTATAAAATATCTTAATTATTTATACCTGAGTCTGTTGAAAATTGTATAACAATGATAGTTGTGAACATTACCCATGCCTGTTTTCACGTATTATCAGGTATATTTAGAGAATTAGTTTAGAACTAAGATTGATCCTGAAATTAATTTGCTCAGACTCACATTAAAATATTTGATTATAAGATTCTAAAGCGTCATTTATACGAGACTAAACGTTATTAATCGCTGCTTGTTTATTTTTCCATATTTTTTGTAACATAAGAGATTCCTATACTTTAAAAATGTACGAGCGTCGACCGAGTGCTTATTCCATTATTCTCCTTTTAGCCATCCACATACAGGTTTACACTTTATTACATGTAAGGGTTTGTTCCAGGATGACCAATCTTCGAAGCGGCGCGCCAGCGAAGATGTCGAAACAGATTCTCCCCTCAAGAAACTGTACCAAGAAGTAGAGAAGGCCTTCCCTCAACACGATGTTATGATCAACGACTACATACAAACCGCCACGAAAAATAACATAGAGGAAATACAAAAGCACACGGAACAGTTGTTAGCAGAAATACAGACCTTACGTGAACTAGCACAGAAAAAGGAACAAGAATGGAACAATATACTGCACTTAAAGAAAGTGAAAGAGGAAATTTTACTAAGGTTGTTAAGAAGAAAGCAAGTACTGTCATTTGAAAAGGCGGCTGAGGTGAACGGATCAGACCGCACTGACCCATTTGACTACTTGAATCAAGCAAAAAACTTAGCGATAGACAAAAGTGACGAGATCTCAGGGTTGTCAATCAAGCAGCCTGGCCCCTCAAGCATGAGCCCCATGATGCAACCTCAAGTGATGCCGGTGACTTCCCACTTCAACCCTATGTCAGGGCTGCCCCCACCATACGACAAAGCTGCACATATGCAAAATATGCCAAAGCCAGTTTACCCGCAGCCCATGATGATGCCTGGCCCAATGCCAGGGTTCCCACGGGACATGAACGGGCAATTGCCCACTGGGTACAACATGCCTATGGGTCGGCAGGGCCCCACCAAGGATGTGAAGTCGATTATTGCTGATTATAGACAGCGGAATCCTGAGATGACTCCGCGAAGGGGTCGGAGAATGAAATCGATTTTAAATCCTAATATGATGGGTGCCCCGAGGCCAATAGCACCGAAAATGGATAGCATGAACAACTTGAACAACCTGAATATGCTTTTCAACAATTTAGATATGGTGAGTCATCTACTTTATTATTAATTGCTTACAATTTTTTACTGTAGTCGGCCAGTATTTGTCTCGGAGCAGTGGAAGGACGAAGTTATTTTAGGATGTAATAAATGCGTCATACAGAAATCTAAACGAGTAGTTACGAACAATTTGGTATTTACATTGCCAATGTTGTAGGGAAAATATGTATGGGAATTTTCCCAAGTGGTGAAGAAATTTTCCATATTGAGTCATATGGATTGAGTCTTCTTTAAAACATTATTATTTTAACTTGTTCCTCTTTGCAGCTGTTTCTCTAATCTTCAAATAACGCTAATCATTTTGTACACTCTCATAGATCAGAGACAAAGGAAAACGATCCGTACTCTATGGTGTTAAGGTCATGCGTAGTTTTCTTTGCGTAGCAAGTCGCGGTTTCAATTCGCGATCGCGATCCTTGACCTCATTGCGTGATGTTAGTGCACCGTAATAGAGTTGTACTTTAGATCTGAAGGACCAAGCGTAATTTAATTTAAGACTCACGCCCGTATTCACAAACGATGCTTGCTTAAGTGAAGCAGAAAATCGAATGCACAACTAGAATAAAATAGAATAGAGCTCTGTGATTGGTTCGTGTGTCACCCTTCACGCCCCTGCGCACTGTGAGACCGCATAGTAATGTTTGTGAATACGGGCGTCAGACTCGCAAAACTCCAGGACTCGATTCCCAGCTGGGGTACCTAGACCTAAACAAATTAAAAAATAAGTTTTGTTTAGAAAGAAAGAAAGACAAACACTGCCATTTTGCCATTTTGTCGCATTCGTGTTGCCTAGAAGTTCTAGAAGAAATATGAATCTGTGCTTCAGAGTGTACGTCAAGTGTTGTCTTGTTTTTTGATGGGTGAATCTGGTCTGGAGGAAAGCGCCTGACTAAGACTACATAGTTTGCAGTGATACGTGCATCTATTCCAAATGCCCAGACATAGTAACATGCCTATCAGTGCCTTATTTCATACATCATCATACTTGCCCGCATTTCATACAAGTTTTCACCCACTCACTCACTGAAAGTTTCACTTTCGCTATTTCCGATACTGAGCTATGTTAAGTAGTTGCAGTGAAATCTATATCTAATTTTAAACTTCAAATAGCATTTGAGACTTGCGACCGGTCTCCTTGACCGAGAAGGCAAGGTCGCCACAAGATCGCGGGTCAATGTTATAATTATTTATTGGACAGTTTCCGACAGTTCAGCAATTTCAACCATTATAGTCGAGAAATTACACATAATGTTAATGTATTTAACTCTTCAAAATACATAAAATAAATAATTTTTACATAAAGTACATAATGAAGATGAAAACAGTGTGTATATTACTAGTAACTACCTACATTGATGATATAATCACTGGCCGTAACAGCGTATTACACTTGAAAATTTCGACAGGTTCATACTCAGATAGAAGAGCAGTCGCCCGGCAAGCGAAAGGTCGTAGGTTCGATTCCCACCTTAGGCGGTTCGATTTTACAAGTTATTTAAAAGTAGGCGCACACCATTGATTTTTAGTTGGCCGATAGTTGTGCCCGATTTTAAATTGTATGAAGAATCGTCCAAATCGAATCGGCGTAGTGTGCGCACTCCCATACATGCACATACTTTGTCGGCCGTTTGGTGTAGTGGTTCAGAACGGACTACTATGCCGAGAGGTCCCGGGTTCGATTCCCGGCCGGGCAGAAATTGAAATGATGAATTTTAATTTCTGTGACGGGTCTGGGTGTTACTATGTATAATATTATGTATTTAAAAAAAAAAAGTATATAAGTAGTATATCCGTTAAGCTAGCACCCATAACACAAGCATATTAATTGCTTACTTTGGGGCTAGATGGCGCTGTGTGAGATTGTCCAAAGATACAAAGATATACTGATCAACTGCCCGACTTATATTTATATTTATAAGCAAATAAAGAATTTGAATTTGACTAAACTATCGGCCGACGAAAAATCAACGGTGTGCGCCTACTCTAAAAAAACTAGATCGAGAGGCGATAACGTTTGGACATTTTAATAACTACATAAAATTGCTTTTCAGAACCAAAAAGCGATGCTGGAAAGGTTGCAACAGATCCAAGCGGGAGGGTTACCCAATGGGCTCTCGTTCAAAGACGTACTCGTTCAGTTCGCAAATATGCAGCAGAGCAGTTCCGGGCTCATTCCGCCGCGGCCGGAGCCCCCGAGGCCGGAGCCCCACGCGCGCCCGGAGCCCCGCCGCCGGCCCGAACCGCGCCATGAAGAGATGCACCCGCCGCCTAAACAGGTACGCCCCGCTGACGCCCCGCGGAAACCCCGCACACGAGCCGCTAACGCCCCGCGGCCCTATCCCTGCCGCCGCCCCGAGCCGCGCCATGAGATGCACCCGCCGCGCTAACTGGTACGCCCCGCGGAAGCCCCGTGAACGCCCCGTGGAAGACCCGTGAACGTCCCGAGCCGCGCCATGAGGAGATGCATCCGCCGCCTACACAGGGACACCCCGCGGAAGCCCCACCGCCGCCCGGAGCCGCGCCACGAGATATAATGTCTAGATCTAGATAAAATGTCATGCTTGTATAACGGCAACTTAACATTATGTTGACCTACAATCAAGCTAGATACATCTGACAAGAAAATCGTTATTTACACACGACTTTCGATCTCATCGACAGCCCTAATCGACCTTCAAAACTAATGACACTTCTATATCTGAAACTCAAATCTTCCTTTTTAATTCCAGGTGGAAAGACTGGCATCCCCTAGTCCCCGATTGCCCCCACCACCCCCCTACCCCGAGATCTCACTACTCCCCGTCACCACACAAGAGAGCCAGACTTCCCAACAAAACTCTTTGCTGCACGGCATACTGACCAAGGTAAGAAATGGACTGTATTGCACATGGAATTGAGTTACTTTTTGCTTGTAGTCATGTGTCAGCTTCATTTTTTGTGGATGATTCTTTAGTTGGTCAAAAGCGATGAATTTTGCACTGTAAGTGAATCAAGCGAAAAACACAAATGAGTGAGTGACAAGTGAGTAACAGGTTCGTGCAAATCATGGCAATATTGTTTGTAACTTATGGAGGCAGTTAAAAAAATGGTCGCCATGACCTGTCTCAAAATGTAAAAAAAAATATTTAAACCTTAAAAAAAATCTATTGGCAGATAATTTTTGCTGGCGACTTTAACATTGAACCTTCTAGAACCATTTCTTGAGTCTGAATCTTCAGTAACACAGCTACATTTTATAATAGCTTAAAATCTAGAATTAATATAAAAAGTAGCTGTCATTAACTTTTGGAAAGTGACAACTGCACTGCTTTTTATACTTATTTCGACATAAATTCTATCAAAAATTAATCTGTAACTTTCTTACTTAATTTTCTTGTCATATTATTATAGCGTGCACTTTTCTCTTTAACCTAATAGATTTCTTTTCCACTTCATATTTATTTCGTATCCTTTGCATCTGCAATCTATTTTTGTAACCATCAGAGAGCCAATAATTTTCTAATCTTGTCTAGTACGCATAAACCTGTTATTTCGCTTTTGTGTGACTAAACATTCATCCGATATTTCACAGTGCAATTGATATTACGTGACGATGACATTGCGTTTGAAGCTTTGGCGCTGTCCTACGTGGGCGACCCGGGCGATTCCGTTTCTCAGTTAATTAATACGATTTTAGCTCTAAAACTAATACTAATTTGTCGTATAGCATAAATGAATAAATTCACAATCATCAATCGTTTAAACAATATCTAATGAATGACTATAATTTACAAATCAAGTCTAATTATAATAAATAACAGTGTGTCACTTCAACAATTTCACTATCTAATTTGGATTTGAAATTTCCCGCCTTTTATCGACTTCTTGGCGGGAAAGTGAAGCATGTCTAGCAGTTTTGTTTTGTTAACGCGCATGCAAATGAAACAAAACAGTGCAACATCACTTCAAATTCCCTCAAGAAGTCCGCGTGAGGTTTCAGTAAAATCCCACATGTTACTGAAACGGGGATATCTGTTATTTATCAAATTAAATAATAGAAAAACATAAACTCGCGTCGACCACGTAGCGTCGCTTGCGTTGCTTTCGCGCATGCGCTGCGTTGCCGCGTTGCCCCCATAAAGTTGATATTCCATCGGAGTAGAGCAACAACCTCGAGCTGTCAAACGAAACCGATTTTAGGATGTCACTGGATGTCATTTGCGTGTCAGTTTTTATGATTATTGCACTGTTTTGTACAAAATCAATCACTGAACCAGTAACCATGTTTCTGAAGCACATTTCTCTTAAACATCCAAGTTTTCACTCGCGTAAAAACTGAAAAAATCTCAAGAGCTTCTTTCAGCGTGCCAATGAGTGCTAACGACCTGTCAAATAGTAGCAAAAAAATGGTTCTGTTACGTCACTTACGTCACATCACGCATCTCTTTTTATCAGTGTTGCTGTTACGGGACTATTCTGACCTCTCGTTCCAACCGCTGCAACTCCTGTGTAGCCAGGATCTACAGATTGACCGCCATAAAAAAAAACAACCAATGGAGGTCAAGTTTGCCCTGGGGGAAAGTTAAACTGTCATTTTACCCGCAACGAAGTTAATCAGAAGAACATAGGAGTTCGAAATTAAGGTTGTGTGTGTGGGTGTTGCTGCTAGTGACAGCTCGCTCGCTCAGTCCTCTGTTGCTCTTTTCCGCTAGGTATATTAACTTTTTGCCCAATTGGGTATTTGACACCATTTCCCAATAATTCTAAAGCACAACTTTTTTAAAAAGACACTTCTTTCTGGTCTTAAAAACTTAATTAATTTTTAATTACCTGTAAATTACGATTTTTCGTTGCATTATAATTGAAAAAAGTAGTTTCATTGAGTTGATAAAATTGTGACGTCACATGCTAGTATTGCCGTACAAAATCTATGGGAGAGTGTCGTTTTGACAGTTTTAAAAAGTACGTCAATTGATTGGTGGTGTCAAATACCCTATTGCCCGCGTTGTATCGCCCGGTTGCCCGCGTCCGACAGCCGCCTTACGAAGCACCGTTCCGCAGGCGCCCGCGTCTCAGACGTACTCGCCGACGTTGGCTAAACTGCTTACGTCGCCGGAACGACGACAGGCGTTGTCCCCTTTCGGTCAGGCCAAGGTACCACCTCACTGTGTATAAACAATTGGTGTTGATTGGCCTCGATCTTCCAAATTCAAAATTTAGTTTTTAAGTGTTGTGCGTTTTGCTTTTAAACGGCCGGTTCGCGTTAGTGAATTATTAAGAGACAAGTTTTTGTTTTCTGAGGTCATTTTTTTAAACTGGCAACTATATTATTGAGAAAATATCGAGAAATTATTATCTTAAATGTTGAAAAAAGAAAGTAATAATTGTCAAGTTAAAATAAAATATTATATTTGTGTTTATAAAACAAAAAATCTGATGAAGAAAATCAAAACTTGTTTCATTAAATGCATATCCTACTTTAAATTTTTGAAATTTCAATTATTTACGGCTGTTTAAAAAGCAAAATATTGATCCAAAATTGGACTCTAAATTATTAACGAAAATGGCAATGCTCATTGAAAGTGCCACCTCATGATCATGTTTGCATTACACTGTCATTAATTTGTATCTAATGTATTTCAAATACATATTAACTACTTATGTATTTGAAGTCAGCACATTGATGATGAGACGCAAATTGTATGTTGGTGATTATGATGATCCTAGTCGGTGATAGTTTTGACAAACAAGCTGGCGCGAACGGAACGAGCGAACTTGTCACCTGTCAATTTGACTTTTCTTTGTTTTATAAAATAAAAACCTTCATTCGTTTGTCAAAGTTTCTTTCCAGCCAGCTTGTTTGAAAAAGTTCTAAATGTGACATAATGATGCACTGGGTGATATATTTTTAAATTGTTTTAGAAAAAACAATAAAATACTAAATATTTTTTAAATTATATTCGATCTTTAGATAGACCTCTTCGCTAGCTTCGCTTTGCCTATGCAGTTGGGGTCCCACAACATAGTCTGTATTTTCGGAACTATCACAAGACTCGAAATAACTTAGTAAGAAGAAAAAAATTTACAAATATGATGCTACAGTTACCTTGCTGTTTGTAGAGACTACCTGCAGAAACGAAGCTAGCTACCCGATTGCTATAGTCTGACCGTTTGACTGACACCGTATCAAAGAATACAAAGATATGTATGTATTTAGAATAATATCGCAATCGTCTTCGTTCAGTAACAGTAGAAAGAAGAATGTTAGTTTATTTTCAAAGTATGGGTAATGGGCATTTAAAAAAAATTTATTTAATTTAATTTCGAAGGTTTTGTGCTTGTTTTTGTTTGTGAATGTTATTGCTGGTTAACTTAAAATTGTGTTGTGATGTTTATATGTATGTTAAGATATTTTGTATCGTTTTTTTCACTGGGTGGGAGTTGTTAAATTACTTATCACGTACTACGGTCAGGCTATAGAACGTCTTTCTAAAGGTCGACTGCTAAGGCCAGGTATACACAATACGCTCCACCCATTTGCGTTCTAGTGGCTACCTAGCCTTACAGTAGTGGGTGGGTCAGTTCTGTGTCACGTGCTGTCAAACTTTGTGACATGTAGATTGGAATGTCATTGTTGCGATGTTGTCAATTTGTCAGTCAAACCAAAAAATGATTTCAACGCGCGTAGCTTAAGCCTAAATCGTGACATGGTCATTCGATTCTACATCATATAGATGACCTACACTGAACTGTCCCACCAAAATCATTGACAGGGAGGCGCCACCATCGTTCAACTAGGTATATAGTTTCTAACATGGCAAAAATCGGAACCAGCGATCCGGTATTGACGGTGGCGCCCCACTGTCAATGTCACGGGTGGGACAGATTAGTGTATTGGGTCTATATCTTAACATGCCCCTAGTATAATTAGGGCTATCGTTTTTAAGCTTGCCAATTGGCGCCAAAAAAAGATTCTGTCACTCGCTAGTGGCTAACACAGTGCCGCCAAATGGTGAGCGTAAAGACGAAATGAGTATTATTGCATTTACACTCACTTGTAAATAGCGCCACTAGAGTAAGGTCACAAAATTGATAGTAGCAGAAGACAATCAACTGTGTGTACCTACTTCATTTTGTATACGCACATAGACAGTCGCGTCTCAAGCGGGTGGCATTCGCGCTCGCACTGTTTTAGCCCATATATGCCCAGAACTATTTAAATCTCAGATTTTTATGTAATTTGGCATATTTAGTTTCTTTTTTTATGCAAGACAAGGCAGTTATTTGATCGCAATCGGATGTTAAGTGAGATGCAGTCTAGGATGGTACATATTTGATAGGTCTGATTTATACGCATCGTAAGAGAACTTGTACCATTTGGTCGTTTTCGTGCCTCAGGGCATATATGGGTTAGACTAGTTTGCGATTATTGGCGATTTCGTGAACGGTGCCCGAGCGCACTTTGTATGTAGATTGTCTTCTGCTGCTATTTTGTGGTAAGGTACAATCAGTGGCGCCAACTAAAGCCTGGTCCGTGAGCACGTAGAATCCCGTCCAATGACCCCAAGCTACCCATCCCTATTGCTCGCGCGTAATTATGTTGCTGTCGCGCTCGCACACTCACTGCGGGCGCCCGTCGCACAGTCGCGACAGCAACATAATTACGCGCGAGCGATAGGGATGGGTAGCTTGGGGTCATTGGACGGGATTCTACGTGCTCATGGACCAGGCTTTAGGCCTCAGCCTCGAACTTAGCGGGCAGCGGGGCGGGAGCGGCGGCGGCGCTGGAGCGGGGCGGGCAACGCAGACCCGTTCTCGAAACAAGCGGGCAGCTCGCGCGGCGCTTTAGCGGCGAAGTGTTGTGTTCGGGGTTGTGTTGTCGAGATATTTGTTTTTATTCGCAAACGAAATGTCTGAACAACGGCGACAATTTTATTTCGATTCAAATTTATTCCTAACGCTCGATTTATTGTGGGCAAAAGAAGGAGTGCGCTGCCCGCTCGTTGCCCGCTCCCTCGCCGCTGCCCGCTCGTTGNTTAGGCCTCAGCCTCGAACTTAGCGGGCAGCGGGGCGGGAGCGGCGGCGGCGCTGGAGCGGGGCGGGCAACGCAGACCCGTTCTCGAAACAAGCGGGCAGCTCGCGCGGCGCTTTAGCGGCGAAGTGTTGTGTTCGGGGTTGTGTTGTCGAGATATTTGTTTTTATTCGCAAACGAAATGTCTGAACAACGGCGACAATTTTATTTCGATTCAAATTTATTCCTAACGCTCGATTTATTGTGGGCAAAAGAAGGAGTGCGCTGCCCGCTCGTTGCCCGCTCCCTCGCCGCTGCCCGCTCGTTGCCCGCTCCGGCGCCGCTGCCGCGCCGCTGTTTTCGAGAACCGGTCTATTTGATTTTACGCATAAGATCCTGCCGCTCCCGCGCCGCCGCCGCCGCCGCCCCGCTGCCCGCTAAGTTCGAGGCTGAGGCCTTACAATCAGTGCTGCAGTGGCGCCAACTAGTGAGCTAACGTACGGTAGTTCTAATGCCTTCTGTAACCGTGGCTGCGCGTGGCTTACAGAGCTGCGGCGAAATCACCATCACTCCCGTTCAGCCGGCGCCGCCGCCGGCGCCCGACCCCCAGCCGGAGAAACCCGAGGAGGTCGTCCAATTGGTGAGTGTTTGAGTGTTAACTAAACGATTATTCTAACGTCACAAACGTCCGTGGTGGCGCCACTGTGTACATTCTTTATGGTCTGTTGTCAAACCCAAGTGTAATTTGTCCTCCTACAATGTCCAAAATAAACACAAGTTTATCAAGCTCATCGTTTATTATTCAGCTATAACCTAACAGTGAGGATGTTGTGGTTCTTCTGTAGAATTGATATATTTGCTGACATCCATCACTGGTGAAGTACCTACTTTAGGCCCGGTTTCCACCAAGGCGGAGCGGAGAAGTATTTTGAATAACCAATCAGATTTCATTATTTTCTTTTCTCCGTTTTGCACAGCTCCGATCCGTGCCGCGCCCCTGCCGCTGTCAAGTTCTATAGAAAAAATTGACGGCCCGACACTTCTGGAATTCCGGCATTGGTGGAAACCGGGCCTTAGTTTTTGACCTAGTTGCCTTAGCCTTAGAAAATAGTTGACAGGGGCTCTATAAAATAAGTGACAGTTCGACCCCTTTGGCACTCCTTTGTGCGGAAAAGATCTTCTAACGAAACAATTTTCCCCCAAAATTTTCAACCTTTCAGCTTAAATATAATATATCTAGCAGTGGACTAATTGTTTGATGATGATGATAATCATGCTTACTGCAGCACCTGGGAAAATTCACTTAATTTTTTCTCGCAAAGGTTGGCTTAGATTTCTCAAAAAAAAGCCTGTAACTTAGACTGATCTCTTAAACGCTCGTGTTTTTCCAACAGCAGGACGACGAAGAGAGCCCCGGCTCGTCGGGCTCGGGCGGCGGCTCGCCCGCGGGCTCGGGCTCCGGCTCGGGCTCGGGCCGCCTCGTCATCGACGAGCAGGCGGCCGCGCAGCCCTCGCCCGACGACGCGCCGCTCTGCCAGGGCTGCCGCCGCCGCGACGCGCAGTTCGTGTGCGCCGGCTGCGCCAACCAGTGGTACTGCAGCCGCGACTGCCAGGTTTGTACAGCCCTAGGTAGTGAGGTGACTGCCAGGTATGCACAACCCTAGGTACTTAGGTATAACCCGTCGGCACCGGCGNATGTATAACCCTAGGTAGTTAGGTGTTGTTGTTGTTGTTTCAGCTGAAAGACGTCTTCTGCTGGACAAAGGCCTCCCCCAAGGATTTCCACAAAGACCGCTCGCATCCAGGCACCTCCCGCGACCCTCACCAGATCGTCAGTCCACCTAGTCGGAGGCCTGCCCACGCTACGTCTTCCGGCTCGTGGTCGTCACTCAAGAACTTTCCTGCCCCAGCGGCCATCGGCTCTACGAGCTATGTCTGCCACTTGATTTTAGCGATTCTGCGCGCTATCCGTGTACTTGAGTATAAAAAACCTGCGACCGCTGAGAGAATGCATTCCAGACTGCTCGATACGACCTATAAATAATCTTGACTGGAGGAAGACGCGGTATTTTTGTATGGTCGAAAGGGGGTGCGTCTCAGATAAGTTTGGGAAACAACGTCGGGCTCGGGCTCCGGCTCGGGCTCGGGCCGCCTCGTCATCGACGAGCAGGCGGCCGCGCAGCCCTCGCCCGACGACGCGCCGCTCTGCCAGGGCTGCCGCCGCCGCGACGCGCAGTTCGTGTGCGCCGGCTGCGCCAACCAGTGGTACTGCAGCCGCGACTGCCAGGTTTGTACAACCCTAGGTAAAGTCCGGTCGCCGAGCAGATCGAATTTCGTCTGACGACGCCTGCCGCGACTGCGACGGGCGGCCGCAGTGAGTGTGCGAGCGCGACAGCAATATAATTACGCGCGAGCGATAAGGAAGGTAGCTTGGGGTCATTGGACGAAATTCTCTGCTCGGCGACGGACTTTAGTTAAGTGACTTCCAGGTACGCGTAACCCTAGGTAGTTAGGTGACTGCCAGGTATGCACAACCCTAGGTAGTTAGGTATAACCCGTCGGCACCGGCGATAGAGTCGAGAGTCGACTGCACGCGCCGTATCCCTATCGCCGTAACCCTAGGTAGTTAGGTGTTGTTGTTGTTTCAACCGAAAGACGTCCACTGCTGGACAAAGGCCTCCCCCAAGGATTTCCACAAAGACCGGTCCTGCGCCGCTCGCATCCAGGCACCTCCCGCGACCCTCACCAGATCATCGGTCCACCTAGTGGGAGGCCTGCCCACGCTACGTCTTCCGGCTCGTGGTCGCCACTCAAGAACTTTCCTGCCCCAGCGGCCTTCGGCTCTACGAGCTATGTGCCCCGCCCATTGCCACTTGATTTTAGCGATTCTGCGCGCTATCCGTGTACTTGAGTATAAAAAACCTGCGACCGCTGAGAGAATGCATTCCAGACTGCTCGATACGACCTATAAATAATCTTGACTGGAGGAGGGGGGGCGCGGAAGACGCGGCTTTTTTGTATGGTCGAAAGGGGGTGCGTCTCAGATAAGTTTGGGAAACAACGTCGGGCTCGGGCTCCGGCTCGGGCTCGGGCCGCCTCGTCATCGACGAGCAGGCGGCCGCGCAGCCCTCGCCCGACGACGCGCCGCTCTGCCAGGGCTGCCGCCGCCGCGACGCGCAGTTCGTGTGCGCCGGCTGCGCCAACCAGTGGTACTGCAGCCGCGACTGCCAGGTTTGTACAACCCTAGGTAGGTAGATATAGCCCCTCTTCCCTGACAATAGAGTCGAGAGTCGACTGCACGCGCCGTATGTATAACCCTAGGTAACTACTTAGGGTTATACATACGGACTGCCAGGTATGCACAACCCTAGGTAAAGTCCGGTCGCCGAGCAGATAGAATTTCGTCCAATAACCCCAAGCTACCCATCCTTATCGCTCGCGCTTAATTATATTGCTGTCGCGACTGTGCGACGGGCGGCCGCAGTGAGTTAGGTGACTGCCAGGTATTTACCACCCTAGGTAGTTAGGTAACTGCCAGGTATGCGTAACCCTAGGACCCTAGGTAGTTAGGTGACTGCCAGATATGCATAACCCTAGGTAGGTAGTTAAAGCCCCTGTGCCCCGATAAAAAGGTCGCGAGTCGTCTACATACGCCGCTGTGCCCAACCAGTGGTACTTTGGTCGCGACTGCCAGGTATAGTGGCCCCTCTGCCTTGGTGATAGAGTCGCGAGTCGACTGCACGCGCCGTATGTATAATCCTAGGTAGTTAGGTGACTGCCAGGTATACATAACCCTAGGTAGTTAGGTGACTGCCAGGTATGCATAACCCTAGGTAGGTAGTTATGGACAAAATGTTACACTTCTTCCTTTATTTATTACCAAATGCATTGTCAAATAAATTTTTCGTCCCTAACTTGAAAAATATGGATCTAACCATCAAACTTTCAGGCCCTTTAAAATATTTTATAGAAAGTACCCTAGGTCCTATTCTAAAAAAATAAAAACTAAAAGAATATTGTCCTTTTCCAGGTCGCGGCGTGGGACGAACACTCGGAAATGTGTTCAGGATAATGTAAGTGACTCCGGCCGCAGCAGCGGCTCCGCGACTTTGCTCGGTGTTAGCGCATCTAGTGTCATCTGCCTTATAATAACTATTAATAATTACGTGAACATAAGAATTCGTGAGAATCTCTATTTTGGACGCAACAATTTTTTGCGTAGTCTCGTATTTTTTTACAACGTATGACGGTTTTTACATTCGTTCGTACACGTTCAAAATATTTATTGGTTTTGTGAATTGCTAAAGAAGGTGCATTTTTCCACAGTGGGTTATACCTTATACTCGGTCACAAAATATCTAGTGATAGTTGTATTTATTCCTAAACATTTAAATCATAATTCTACTTAAAATGAATACAGTTATTGACCACTGTGGACCGAGTTCGAAGAATATAATGTAAAAAATACGCCAACTGCCGATATAGTGATACAACTCAAACTTATTGTATTTATTGTGTAAGTCGGCCGATTGTGTCATTTACAATCCGATAGCAACCTCTTCAGGATCTTTAGCCGCCGTCATATTGTCTATTATGACTTTATGACGTCGGTTTATTGCATAACTGTTCCAAAATCCGGTTCTGTTCCGAAACCCGGTTCTGTTTTGTTCCAAAATCCGGTTATGTTCTGTTCCAAAGCCCGATTCTGTTCTGTTCAAAGGTCCGTGTTTTTGCTACCACAACTTTCCGTACAGGATCACAATAGGATCCTATTCTGAAACGCAAACGAAATTGAGCAGAGATTCAATTAAATAGAGCTCAAAGCAAGCAAATATATTCGTGATAATAATCGATACAATGACAACACGCTAGCAATATTAAAGCTTTCTTTTATAGCGTTTCAATTGATCTTTAGTTGATTTTCCCAACAATAAAGTTACAAAATCTTTTTCTATTTCAATAATAAAGTTATGATTCCAACTTCGTGGAAGTAGAGGAATTTTCTCCTATTAGGTATCCCGATTTTCAGTAGCAGACTGCCATCGGCTAAAATATATCGTCCGTTCTAGTTCAGTAGGCCGACTTACACTCAATCCGTCAGGGTGCCTAGTGCGAGTTTGCACCAAACGTCATCAGGGTCAAAATGACATGACAGATTGTACAGCGTCCCTAGCGGATACTTTCAAGGACTAAAATCTTCATAGACTTTTTTACGCACTCTAGCGACGACGTTCAATGCAAACTCGCACTTTGCACACAGATTTTTAAGACCTATAAAATGACAGTCCATATTATAGTCCTTCAAAGGCGAAATAACGATGTATCTCGAGTTTTATAGGTTTTATTCGAGACCAGTTTTTTTTTATTTAGCTATTGTCTATAGCTCTAGGCTTAGAAGATACCGACTTATAGATGCAGATAAATATCGATTGTTACGAGTGTATTGAACAAAAACTATTTAAAACTTATTCATACAGATACATTTTTAAAGATATATTTTGGGTTTTGAACAAATGACTAAAGGGTTGATTTTTGTCGTCAATGTCGTGTGTAGAATAAATCGCGCTCGACTTGGCGGGGGCACTGCCGTGCCCCCAGATTTGACATGTTGACAGTTTTGTTTAGAAAGCATGTCAAAAATATCAATTTTATTCTGTAGAAGTTCTTTGGCCAATCAGCCTATTAATAAATAAATCATAAGACACAGTATTTGGAAATAACTGTGTGAATGAGTTTTCAAACATGTTCCTAATTTGTGAAGAAAAAACTTTTTTCTCAAAGCAAGTTTAGCATAATATTTAAGACTTTGGCGAATATAATGTTGGTTGTGTTTGTGCCGAGTTCATCTAACGATTTGGCTGTGTACTTTTGAAAATGTTAATGCTTATTTTTGGATCATATCAAATAGCATAAGTAAATTGAAGATCAATAGACCAGCAATTTTGGATGTTTAAGTCACTGGTACTTGAAATAAATAATGATTCGGGGCAATAAAAAAGAATAACTTAAAAAATGTTTTGAGACTACAATGGAGTGGCTATTAACTCATTGTTAACTGACTTCAACAAAAGGAGGTCCTCAATTCGGTTAGTATTTGACGTATTGCCAGTTTTGTACCAACATAAATTCTGTTAAATTAAAAAGATCTTATTTTAAAAAATTTCTAGAACTAAATATTTTTGATATAACTGTATGGCTAGTTCAAAAATAATTTTATTAACATTTTCATTAAACCTTGTTCATTAAATTTACGAAACTCCACAACACCTGGATCGTTAGATGAACTCAGCGTTCGTGTCTCAAATTTTACACGCAATAATTTATAATACAACGACTTCTTCCTATGTTTTGTTAGGAATATTGATTTTTTTTGTGAAATTCCTCTTTTCAACCCTAATAAATTAGATCATTCCTTTAATAATATTGGATGCTACCCCCATATATTAATATCTTTTTTGTAGCAGTCAAATAGGTGTTTTCTGTCATTGTTCTTTGACATTTAACAGAAAATTCAAAACGTGTGACTGTTCACCTCTGTATTGAAATTTATTAGCAAGGGGGTATTGTATAATAAGCTATTTAGTAGCTAAAATTGTTAGAATAACAATTTATTATGTATTTATGCGAGTGAAACTTAAAATATGTGTGTTCTGAATTATGCCCATATACATATTATGCGGTATTTATTGTAATACCATTGGTACATAGTCTTTTGTAGGTCTTTTTCTGCAAAATCACAGTAGTTTTTTTGCAAGTGAATTTTAAATGCAGGTTCGTTAAGGATGTTTAGGTGCAATCTTTGACTTCCAAACATTAATATTCTGTTTTGTTCATAGGTCTTCCTTACCTTAGATTTCACTGGGGTACCGGCTAAATAATATTCCTACATTTGCATTGAAATACTTCTTCTTCAGTCTTTTGTCAAGTGATTGGCCAATATCGGTCAACTGTGTGATACTTTGAAAAACCATTATCCATCCATAAAGAATACTCAATCTCCATTTATAATACCGTCATGAGAAAAATATACATATGCGGTATATCAAAAAGATACGCGATCAAAACCACTACATATTTTTCACCTGCATATAATTTACCTTATTTTTAAGTTGCACTCTCGTGATTTGGCCAAACATATTTTAGGGTAAGAGTTAATTTAAGTAATCATCATTTTATATTGACAGTAAGTCTATTAAGAATCGACAGCGCATTCAAGTTTAAATTTAATCACAAGCCCAAATATTTCGTGCCTTTCCTAATTTATAAGTTGGTATTATTGAACGAGGTGTAATTCAGAACGTTGTGTGCCTGAATGCGTGTATTATACAGACAGTACTGTAAGTTAGTACATAGTAATATAGTGACGTTATGGTATACAAGATGGCCGGAAAACGTGACATCCATAGCTAATATTTTTTTTATTGTTAAGGACTTTTTGAATCGCCCCCAACTAATATTTTTTTCAAGTAAGAATGCAGTTAAAACTAAAATAGAAAGACACGGGACATTTATGACTGAGTTTAGTAAAAAGTTTAGGAGACTTACAAATAATTGAAGAACATAAAGAGCTGATTGAAATAGCCCATAATATAGAAATTAAAATAACTGCTTTGAACGTCACTTATCCGCCGCCTTGTATATACGAGAAATAATCATTTTCGAGAAAACTGTAAATCGAACCGAAATCAATTTATTTTGTAATATTGATACTGACTGCTGGGCAGCGCTTATTTCGTAATCATGTATATTAAAACTGTTAATCTATAATGTACATAGATTCGTTTCTATGAGAAACTAAAAATAAGATAATTTCAGTTATAAAGTCAGTCCCCATATTTTTGATCGGTATTTTTCACTTACTTAATTTTTTGTAAAAAATTCCATAATTGCTTTAGAAATCTTTTCCTTTTACGAAATAAGCGTGACCAGTTTATTATTTAAGCGAATAATGATGATCACGCATCGATGTTTATTATAATAAATAAATAATGTACCACGATCAAAATATAAGAGTAATAGAGCATGTTGATAATTAAGCAAATTTTATTGATTCTTCGTAATAATAATAGTAAATGGACGCGTCTTTGCGTGATCGCCATTGAAAATAAATAGGATTATTTATTTTTTACAATCATACGGTAACTATAGTATTATATTTATAAAGCGTTCTACTTTTATACACATGCCGTGCCAAAATCGCAATGTTTGATTAATGACCGAAATAGGAACAGTATAGAAGCCTGGAATAAGTTTTTGAAGTTATACACGACCAATACAAAACATTACCTACTCATTTATATATTTCTGACAAAATTGGTAACCCTGCTGTGAAGTGGGCGTGTCTAGGGCATATCGTATGCTAATGGGTGGGGCTAAAGTTGGTAATTTAAAAAAGTTTTCAGTAACGGACTCCTTTATTTATTTCATGAATAACTGGCGAGGATTTTTATAGACTTGGAATGTATTTTGGGCTTTTAAAATCTTTTTCACTCATGCACAGGGGTGGAGGACAAATAAGGAAAATCTTGGAAACGTATTTCGTTAATTTGACTTTCCTTCGGCTTATTCCGTTTATCCACTACAACAAGAAACCCTTTCTTTCTCAAGAAAAACCGAGAGTTCTTGCAAAATCTATACAAAACAAAAAAAACTTTTTTTCGCCTGGTCATCATCATAGAGACACAAGTCGGGTTTTCTGTCATAATTATTCGTTCACACGATGGCATATCAAGCTAAATACAGTGAAATCTTATGCAACTGTAATAAGAACTATATTGCGACAAAAATATGTAGTCTTAACGTGCTTTCGACTTTACATTATCAACTTGAGCCCCACCGTAGATACGCTCATACATTGAGGCTTCTGAAATAATTTTGATTATTGTATTACGTTTCAAGGACAAAAGCTGGAAGTTGCCTCGGGCAATCAAATCAAAGATGACCAAGTTATCGGAATATTGAGCAGCTGTATTTCGTCTCTAACGCTAGTCAAGTGTTTTGTTACCTATATAACTGTTTATGTATTTTGTAACTTATATCATGTTATGTAAGAATGTATTAAAAACAACTACTGTCTTTGAAACCTGAATTTTGTTGTTTTATTTTATGCGTGAGTAGCACTGAAAATTGCATTTATTTCGCTGGTTCAGGGATTCTGATTTGAAAGGACATATTGTGCAGCGCCCCTAGCGGCTACTTTTAAGAAATAAAATCTTCACAAGATATTTTTGACGTAACTCGCTAGCGAGCACACTTAACGTAAACTTTTAGTATGTACCTACACAGGGGGCGTAGTGTGAGTTTACTTCAAAGCATTCGTTAACGACTGCGTAAAGAGTGACATTAAATGTATGACGGATTGTACAGCGCCCCTAGCGGGATCTTTCAATAAATAATATCTTCAATTTTTTTTAACGCATTCGATATCGAATGCCTTTGATGTAAACTCACACTACGCCCTCAGTCCTCGCGACACAGAGACAGGTAATCTAAGCTTTACCAACCTTAAAATTGACTTGCCACGGACGGAAGCCAACTTGCAGACGCACAGCGCTGCCAGAGTATATTTTGCTGGGGTAATGCACACTCCTCGGAGTTGATGCTGACGATGATGAAGGCACGCGGAGCACGGCTACACGCGCGAACAAAAGACACAAGACACGGTCTTTCGAAGGAGTGAACGTCACTCGTAGACTTCGCTGAGCGTGCGCGACAAGCGGGTGTGCGCAATGAGCGTCGCCGGGCTACTGAGGCTTGCTCCGACCGTTGAACGATGGTAGGAAATAAAGTTGGCGAAGCAAATGTGCGAGTACCCGCCATTATTTTCAATGACTTTTAGTAATAAAAGTTACATTGAATTGCATCATTTAAAGTGAATTTTGGGAAGGTATGTTGAATTAAAAAACAACAGCATTATCATTTCAATATGTACTTTTATAAGTCCCTTATACATGAAATAACATTGATAATATTATAACGTCCATAAAATTATTACATGTATCAAAATTTTAACAAAAATGAGTCTCGTTGATGAAATTATTATTAATGAATACAATATGGTGAAGAAATAATCTCTTATGAAAATTATTTATACACCGCATTTTGTGCGTTTTTATTATGTACTAACAAAGAAGTGTCAAGAAATTACACACATCTTTGAAATGGTAAACTGATATTTTGCAAAATTGTACTTCTGAACATTTTGCTTTTTTTTGTAATATTTCGTTAGTTATTGTTATCATAATATTATGTATGAAGGATTAATATATTAAGACATTCATATTTATGTATTGCGAAAAGTAGATGTGTATTATTTCTTGACTAATTTTACAGTTGACTGGAAGACAAAATGATTGCAAGAGTAAAATATAATCCTTAGAAATAAAATATCTCCTGACTAGTAACTGATACAACTAAAATAGACTTTACAACAGCATTATAAGTTCCTAACTACAAAATTAACATTCAAATAATTATAAAGTTTAACTAACATAAAGAATATAAACAAAACACGACTAGATTGAACTAGAAGTGATAATCATATAAAAAATAAGCTTTCTGCTCTCGAATTGATTTTTCCAAAATATAATGTGTGTTCACCATGGACTATGCCCGGACTCATACAGATGCGCAAGTACATGTTTTATGGTAATAGGGTTGTGAACATTCCCTTAGCATTGCATGGGTTTTGGCCAACCCTATTCCCTTGCAATACGAACTAAGTTGAACAAATCAAATCGCATTCGAGAGTAGAAGGCTTGAGGTGTACAGTCAGCTGCATATGTGTACTTTTGACGGATGTTGAACTTTATTACAATTAATGGATAAAGGTGCAACATCCATGTAGATACGCACTGTGCATCTGACTGTACCAAGTTTTGCTTAAACAAAAGAATATAAACTGTTGGACACATAATAGACACCTTACATTTAAAATATAAACTAAACAATGTTCTCGTGGCTTCATTCTTTCGGTGGGACCTATCAGTTACATATTAGTTTCATAAAAAAATCCTTTAGCACCTTTTCGGACATTTATATACAACAGTAATTCAGTATTTATCGATTATAAAAATATTTTACGACTAACAAAAAGACGATTGAGCAGAATTTGAACGTATCAGGTTACCGAGGTGAACGATAAAAGCATAGGACCTCAAAAAGTAAAATAATTCCATTTTTCATTTGTTTCAATAGAGGTAGTGTACATTAAATCTGTCAAAAATCAATTGTAGTTAATATTGGTTCCTGATACACGGTTTCCAATGGAAGCTTCGACGTTATAATGGTGCGTCCAGACTGGGCGAATTTGCTCGCGCGGCACGCTGGTCATCCTGCTCACTCTGCTCTTGAGTGAGTAGGATGTTGATTGTTGAGTTTGCCGCGCGAGCAAATTCGCCCAGTCTGGACGCACCATAAGACTATCCTATGCTTTTTTCGTTCGCCTGTAATAGAAATAGTTATAAAAAAGTTTAAAAACTATGGTACGAAATTACATGATTACATCTTTTCCCAAGTTGACAATATTATTAGCAAAATATGAAAATTTCTAGCTTACTACACGATATAAATAATGGTGCTGGAGTAGCTATAAGTAACTATATTGGCGATACCTTTCTGTACCTCTAGCGTGAACAACTTTCGTCTTCGAATCGTTTGCGTATTCGACAAAATTAGATACTCAACCTTCTAATTAAACGATAACGTGTCAATTTTGATTCTCAAAGTAAGTTTCGTGAAACCATTTCTCATAATAAGTCCACTTTACAACACGTTCACAACGGCGCTGTTGTAGTCTTCGTACTAAATCTTTTGTTGGCGATTCGAATACGCAAACGATTCGAACTTGAAAGTTTTTTGTACTAGCCGTACTGTGTGCTTACCATGAGTTTACGTTACGTGTGCTCGCTAGCGACTGCGTAAAAAAATGACATTAATTGTATGACATATTGTGCAGCGCCCCTAGCGGCTACTTTCAAGAAACAAAATCTCCATAGAGTTTTTGACGTTTTCGCTAGCGAGCACACCTAACGTAAACTCATGGTAGGTACACTGTATAGATAAGTGTTGATTTCTAGAATTCCCAATGTCAAAAAGAATAGAATTCTTTATTCTTCAAAAATAGTTCTTTGTAATGTCTTGGAGGGTTATTTGCGCTCACTAGTTGGCGCCACTAGCGTGCCAGAAACTTACTCAACAGTGGCGCCAACTGATGACCTCAAATACATTTCAGTTTTCCCATGATTTACTGCTGAGACTATGAATTTATGTTAGTTATTCATATTCACAAAATGTTTGTGAATAAATCATTCCTAAAAATGTTAAAATGTTTGTACTGAAAATTTCGTTTCTTCAAATTAACCATACAAAACACCTAAATCGGAATCTTAGTCTAAACTTATATAAAAACTGGCCTTTTTATGTACATTGGTTAAATTTAGGCCAGGCAATAGCAGAAACCTTTGGAAGGTGTTCGGCACCTTTACTTAACATTATAAATGCTTTTTACAAACGTTATATTGGCCAGAGATCGTTTTATAGATCAAAATACAGCTTTAGCTGATACAATTTACATAATATAAAACTTACACCTATGTTCACAAACTCACAACATTGCTTGGTTAGTATACAATAACAATATTACAAATTTAAATACGCATAAAGCTCTGATTTACCATTAATCAACATTTATTTACAATTAGTTTTATATGTAGGCCACATAGAAATTAACAAATCAATGTACAAGTCACTTTCAATATTAACAAAATGTGACCCAGTCAAAATAGTACAAAAATATGTTTTGATAGAATCATATGAAAAATAGTTTGATTGAATTTAAAATTTTACCAATCAATGGACAGATAATGCTCGAGTTTTGGGGCCACGTTTTGTTATTGTTTAGTAATAAAATAATTCAACGTAACCATTGCCATGATAGTACAAGTCAATTGATGACGTTGGCATCCCATTCCGAGCTGCCCCAATAGTAAACATAGCATATTATATACATTATAATATTATATATAATATTATTATTTGTATTTGATACTTAACTAACGTCATACGGTATTTTACTGATTAGAATCCTACATCCTAAACTCACCACTGATGTAACATGACGTCACTTGACGACAAATACCACATTGGCGTCTCTCTCTAGCTGATCGTCCAGCTGGGCAGCTGACAAACCAGCCTGGCAGCATAATTCGTCCACGCATACAAGCCCGTTGTAAGTGCGAACAGGAGACGTGCTGTGCTCACTGGATATTGATACTGACTCGTCGTTGTTTAGAGTGATCGGGTACTGGAAGGAGAGAGAATATTTAGAAGTAAAATTAGGTGAAAAGTAGGAAAGTTTTTGGACATTTATAGCAAATAAATGATGATTCTGATTCTGACAAAGGAAAGGAAAGGACAAAATGAATATTCTTATCAGAAATTAGGAGATCCGTAGGAGAACCAAATTAACCTGCATACCCCGCTCCCCGCAGAATTGCCAAACTTAAATGCCAGTGGGAGAGGCACATACTCGTTAGATAAATAATGGTTGGTGAGACAGCAAAAGTTCTCGAGTAGCGATCACGGACCGAAAGATGTAATGTAGGCAGGCCTCGCACTCGGTGGACTGACGGTTCAGTGAAGGTCGCGGGAAGCAGCTGGATGCGGACAACTCAAGACCGGTCATTGTGGAAATTCTTGGTATAATCCAGTAGACGTCCTTTGGTTGAAACAACATAATATTATGTATCACTTTAGGAATCATTGTATCAATTCCTAAAGTGGTCCAGGTGTCTCCCCAGGAGTCCAGGGATACAATGGGGCCTATTTTGATAAGGAATGGAGGATCATAAGTTGCAAGTGGAGAGTCCACCGGAATCAGTTTAAAAGTGGTGTAACACCTTACTGTGACCACTGTAGCATCTGTGTATCACCAGTTGGGCCGCTGTGTCGTATGTGTTTTATATCGGTGTCTATGAGCGTTACTTTACTCTATCAGAAGGTTTACTGAATGAAAGTCCGAAGGTCACTAGATACATTGATCTCACAATAGGCAATAAAATTACAATAGTGGCTTGGTAGCGGGCTTACTCTATGCGATGAAGGGAACGACTGGCGAGCGCCACAGAATGCGACTCACATGAAATACAAAATTGCACACTCAACGAAATACAATGTGTCACAATGGTTTACAAAAGAAGAGTTTGGAAACTTCTGGAATATAACGTACCTTGTAGACCCGTCTGATGAGGCCCTCGAGCACTCCGAACAGCACCAGTTTCCGCTCGTTGATATGGAGTTCCTGGGGGCGCAGTCTCCGGCACAGGTCTCGGACTGTGCTGCCATATGTCATGCCAGCATACATGCGGAATATATCGCTGACCTTGGGCAGTTGTCGCGCTGGAAACAAAAAAAATTGGACATTTAACGGGGCGCCATCCATTCCAGGGTAAACTTCCAGTCATTGTATGTATACTTAAGGTCATATCGTTAAGTTATTAGACAGATCTTTATTGAACCAAAAATAGCATTTCTATTACAACAAACTAAGAGATTGCGACTGATGGAAGTTGCAATTTGCATTTGAAGTTAATATGTGCCGCGACCGCACCGCACCGTGTGGCTGCTCCCTAACAGTTTAAATTTCGAAATCGCTGCAAACTTCAAAATAACACCGCACCGGAACGAAGCAATTTTCTGTCACATTTTTGTAAATTGTCTAGAGGGGCTCATCTCTGATCGCAAGACATTGATGAATCTATCTTTTCGAGTAATTTTGCGTTGTCAATATTAAGAAAAAAGCTCATAAAACTTTTCAAGTACCTAAGTTACTGGAGACTTAAGCTTTTTTCATCATTTTGTTGGCGAATTTTCACCCAAATGTTTGGAAACTTGGGCAGTAAGCGAAGTTTTTTCGCAATTAAAGTAATTGGAGATGAAACACCAGACAGAATTCTTAAGAGATTATTATCCTTAAGTTTACTCATGAAACTCCGCGTAAAGTCAAAACAGCAAGTTTCAAGGTTTCCAGAACTTTTAATGACCGGAATGAATACCTGAGTTTTCAATTAATTAAAAAGTTTCAACACCTCTTTGGTTAAATTAATATTTCAAGTTTCATTAACTTGTAGCTCTGAGAAAACGGAACGTGGCGCCCAACGTGGTAATTGTAAATTCTTGTGATTTTAATGTAATATTAGGTACTTGTAACACGTTACGTAGATTAAAATCTCTGTTCACAAAGAAGGAGACTACGTTAAGTCAGTGCCTAAGGTATTTGAGCGGCACGGAAGGGTGTTTCTGAGACTTCAAACGTCAGCGAGGTTTCAGATGTGCTTCAGATTTGTATTTATCACGTCATAATATGTCAATGTCACCCCTCCCGTGCCGCTTGTATATCCCAGGCAATGTTACGCGCTAGATCCATTAAATTAAAGGTGCTCATTTGGTAACTATTCGATGTTTATTGCAATACCTGATCTCGCACAGAACTCGACGCACTGCCTCTGCAGTCCCGCGCATCGGGTGAGCTGCCTCAGCTTTGGCGTTGCGCTGTAAACCTGTAACATTAAATCTACATTACAGTTATTATATAAGATAGGTACTAGCTTTCTGCCCGCGGCTTCGCCCGCGTGGATTTTTGTCTGTCACAGAAAAACTTTATCGCGCGCGTCCCTCTTTCAAAAACCGGGATAAAAACTATCCTATGTCCTTTCCCGGGACTCAATCTATCTCTATGCCAAATTTCATCAAAATCGGTTCAGTGGTTTAGGCGTGAAAGCAAGACAGACAGACAGACAGAGTTACTTTCGCATTTATAATATTAGTATAGACTAGCGACCTGCTCCGACTTCGCACGGGTGCCAAGTGTACATATAAACCTTACTCTTGAATCACTCTATTTTAAAAAAACCGCATCAAAATCCATTGCGTAGTTTTAAAGATCTAAGCATACATAGGGACAGACAGCGGAAAGCGACTTTGTTTTATACTATGTAGTAATTGGCAAAATCTAATCAAAATAACCTCATAAAGTTAGCAGGATTCAGAAAGGCGCTGGATGCAGGCCGCTACCAACCGGCCATTGTGGAAATCATTGGAGGAGGCCTATATTCAGCAGTGGACGTCCTATGGCAGAAATGATGATGATGAATCAAAATAACAACATTTTCGGGGTCGTCGAATATTAATTAGTTCTCCTGAGTGTTGTGGTCTCTCTCGTAGACTCGTTTTCTCCATTTTATTATGCCATTTGAATTTTATTTTTGAACTTTTACGGCTGACCGCAATCAGGAGCCAACGAAATGGTTTCCGGTGCCGTCCCGCGTTATGATTAATTAACTCTTTCTTGTAGAATATGAATAATACTTCAAAAACGAAGTTTTTAAAGAAGTTGCCAGTTCGTCATGAAATTGTACTGATGGGAGTTCTTCCTACTGTTTTGAACAATACAAACTTGATCGCATATAAACTTGGCGCAGATCAAAAAAGATCGAGGCTGATCTTCATGATTCTTCAGGACAGCTGCCATAGCCAAAGTAACATTTACGACGCTCCGTAAGGCGATGGCGTAATTGAATTTTGTCATGAATATTTTTTTCTATAAAGCAGTATCTCTTTAAGAGTAGGCGCACACCGTTGATTTTTAGTTGGCCGATAGTTGTGCCCGATTTTAAATTGTATGAAGAATCGGCCAAATCGAATCGGCGTAGTGTGCGCACTCCCATACATGCCCATACTGATCAACTGCCCGACTAAACTATCGGCCGACGAAAAATCAACGGTGTGCGCCTACTCTAAGATAGACAACAGGGTGACGACACTGCTAGTACCCTAAAACTGACAACTTACCGCACAGTACTGGAAGATGGGTACGAGGGTGACTACGCCGTAGTAGACCAGGTTCTGCACGCAGGCGCGGACCAGGCTGATCTCCACGTCTGTCAGCGCCGCGATCTTGACACGAGCTTACTGTTCAGCCTACTGGTAGAAAACACGACAGTGACGACGCCGTGTACCTACCCTAACTACAAGACAACTTACCGCACAGTACTGGAAGATGGGCACGAGGGTGACCACGCCATAGTAGACCAGGTTCTGCACGCAGGCGCGGACCAGGCTGATCTCCACGTCTGTCAGCGCCGCGATCTTGGAGACGTGGTTGAACCCGTCAATGTAGGGCAGGATCTGAAGCAAGAGAGAACGGTCTTTTAAGACATTGCTGTAATACACCAGTAGCTGTACCCGGCATCCGTTGCAATGGAACTAAAAGAATCTAAGATATGAGCTAGATACTCTTACGGGCGTCCCCAGAATATCCTACCAAAGTTTTAAAACTTTTGCGTTCCATTTCAATTAAAATAGAGAGACACGGGTCATTTTTAAATGAGTTACATACTTATTTAAGAGTACTCACTCACTCTATAAAAATGTCGTCACAAGCAGACTCTATAAAATGTCGTGTTGAGACCCATGTTTCTCTATTTTAACTCTACCAAAGTGTTAAACAATCTGATCAATGGTTTAACACAGAGGACAACCATACGAATAGTTTAGATCAACAGTGAATTTGAATGAATTGATCCCTGAATTAACTTACAATGGACTGTCCAACATACAAAATCTCACTTTTCAAATGTGTATTATCATTTGCACTGAATAAATAAATACGATTACCATTTCTCTTGCCTAACAGTACCTAAACAGCTAATAAATATTCCGTGTTGAGTCAGGTAAAAGCCATTTAACAATGTGTGGAAATACAACAAATTAACGACGCATTCTGAAAATAAAAGGTCTGTTTTACATAACCAAAACGCTAATAGTCCATTAATTTTGCCGACTTGTGTATTGTGTCCAGAGAATGTGAGTAAATTCTCATGTACAATGAGGTATTGTACTGTATCTTTTTTATTATGTCGGCCGCTCCAAATTTCAATTGGGACTTGATATTTGATATTACATTTGGTTAGATTAATATTTACTTAAATAAACCTACATATTATAATACTGAGAACTAGTCTTGAGGATACGAACGACATTCTCAAATTATGAGACACAAACAAAGGGTCTCTTGGGACCCCTTCTTCAAACACACCCAGACGCTGAATTATAATAGAACCTGCCTTATTTATTTCTCCACTACGATAATAATATCTCAAAATTAAGAACCTCACATCATTTATAGCATTATAAGATGCCAGGTTGTTAACTGTAAAGTACGCGCTAGCTAGAACTAGGATGGGTCTCCTGGGGTCGGCCTATCCGGCACCAGAAGATTATAGGTCCCTCTCACCCAAGCACTTGATTCTATAGGTTTTTTGAGGTAAAGGGAAGCACAAAAGACCCAATGGGTCGACGTGCACTGCGCTCATGCGCGGCCCTAAATAAGATAAGATAAGATACTGTAATGTGTCCTTATCCAAGAAAATGACTTTCAAAAACAATCAGACCCTGTGTAGAAAAGCCTTTGCCTATAACCCTTGAGTTTCACCTAAATCCAATTTCTATCACTGGCATGTACGAATGTATACGTCCAATTTCACCACAGTTATTTCAAAGGTTCAAACGTAGGGCTGACCAAGACCCTTAATCACGGTCCATTTGTCCCGTACGGGGTCGGAATCTCGACCGCGACATTAATGTTCACGTGACACTAGCAATTACTATTTGGGTCCCAATCAGTGTGGAACGGACGTTCGATTACAGTGTCATGGTGTTGTTTCGACATCTGACCCGTAATCAATGTAATTACATAATAGACTAGCTTTCCGCCCGCGGCTTCGCGCGCGTGGGCCCCTGAACCCTATGTTTTTCCAAAATAAAATTTAGCCTATGTTACTTGTGGATAATGTAGCTTTCGAATGATGAAAGAATTTTTAAAAACGGTCCAGTACTTTTTGAGCCTATTCATTACAACCAAACAAACAAACAAACAAAGTTTTCCTCTTTATAATATTAGTGTAGATAAGTAATTACAGACGAATGGTGATACCATTTTAAGACAATAAGTGTGCATGAGCAATTGAGCACATGCATGAGGCATAAACGACCGTATTTTTAAATTTTTCACAGTTCCCAGAGAATACCTAGACGGTTCACTGGTAAAGAATACCAAATGGCATTAAGTTTGCCTTTTGTACAGTCAGCGTCAAATAGTTCGTGACACCCAAAGTAGCTAAAAAGTTCGCGAATAATTGGAATAAGGTTGTGTTGTATACTTTTTGGCCACTAGGTGTCACGAAGTATTAGACGGTGACTGTACCCTGTTCAATGTAAAGTTTCAATAAGTAATAAATTTAATTGAAAAAATAAGACAAAAAGTGATGAAAATATACCTATTTTCATCACTTTTTGTCTTATTTTGTACCCAAAACGGGCATAATTATTCACGTATTAATGACAGTTAGATCACTATCGGTTCAACTTAACGTAGAACGACTAGTTAAACGGTACGACCATTAAAGATTTCTAATGCTAAAGACTCTAGTATAATCATGGAGCATTAAACTAATTGAAAGGTTGCGTTCAAACAACTATTTAAGCTGATTTCGAGTAAAGTTCCTAACTATACCTAAGTAAGTAATACCTAAGTTAAATATAAATACAGAAGCAACTTCATTAGCTAATGGAAGACTAAGTACGAAATAAATATGGGATACTAAAGAGGCTTTTCTAAATATAGCGAAAAGGGCTTAGGATTTTAAGGATCGTCCCTTTTCGTTTCGTTCTTGCTCGTTAAATGTTTTTGTGAATCACTACCACTTCGTATTGATAAAAAATGATTAAAATCTATATTCAACATTTATTGAAAACACAGCCGTACATAAGGTACTTCTTTTCTTCGACCTTTCACACACCCTTTCAAACTGTCTCAAAAAGTTCGAGTGAGGACTCAAGCCCTATTTTGTGTCTCAAGTAAAGGGCCACGTCTTTGGTGAAACCAAGCTTATCTCATCAAGCATCTATCATGTATTTATAATCTTATAATTCGTTATTTGTATCTTATTAATCCTTCAAGGCCCGCGAATCTAGACACAATAGATAATTCAATTGTTATGACATTAATGAATGCCGTCTGGGACTCAAGCGGTTAATTTACTTGAATATCATACTTCTTGAGACTGGTTAACATAATTAATATTATGCAATTTTCACAAGCCATAATGAAAAAACATAACCCTCCAGAGGGCAGTCGGGTAAAACAACTCATGATGCGTAGCTTCCGACTTCGCTTTCATCGGTACACCGGGTCGAACTGCTCTGATTGAAACGTTAATGGCAAAAGAAATCCGATCCAACCGGTGCACGCAATTATCGTTGAATGAATTAAAAACAAAGCTACGCGTCGAGTGCGCGGGCGCAAGCAACAGACATAGTAAAAAAGAATAGATCATTCCTACTTCTTACACTAATATTTTCATATTGTAGGGGAGAGTGGGGGAATTGCGGACGCTGAAGGGAAATAACGCACAACATTCGTACTATTAGTAATAATCAGATTTTCTTTATTAATTATTAATCTTTAGTTAAACATCTACAAAAACAGTTATACTTATTAAACGAGATCAATCAACAAATGGAATATTTTTAGCAAAAACAAAACCTTGTCTGTCCGTAATTACCCGCAGCGCTCGGGGTAAATTCGGACTAACGCTGGGTTAATTACGGACAGGTCCACATCACAGACAAAAACCACAAGTAAAGCCTTTAGAAGAACTTCCTGCAGTGCAGTTCTCATGTGCCCACTTGTTACACTTTAAACACCTAATCCAGTCTTCGGCGGGTGGATGAACGTAGTACTTTTCCTGACAATAAATGCAAAAGTAATCAACATTTCCTTCATTTTCAAAATAATTTAGATTTCTTACACCCTTTGATCCTTTTAGCTTATTAGATGTAGTTTTATTTTGTTTTTCTTGGGCTTTTCTTTTCTTGTCTAATTTCTTTTGTTCCTTTTCTTCTAGATTCTTTTTTTCTGGTGTGCTGGTAAAAATGATGGAATGCTTTTTGTTTACTGCCCGTTTGTACCAGTTATTGGTAAATTTTTAAATAGTTTATCGAATTAGGGGTAATTGCAGACGTCCGTATTTACCCCGCAAGGCTTGTCCGCAATTAACCCAATTGGGTATTTTTAAATCAAAGAGATAAATTTGTAGGTTATGAAAACATTCCATAAAAAGAAACATTGGCGATTCAAACTTCATTGACAAAGCTATCAATAGATAATATAACTTTTTACCATCACTTAGTATTCAGACCAGTCCCTTAAATTAAAAAACACTAGAAATTAGATCAAAATACACATTTTTTTTAAATTTTACCTACCTTTCAAACTGTGCGCAGCCGGCTGTCGTAAGTTTTTGCGTGGCACTAAAATGGCAGAAAGAAACAGATGACAGCACCGGGCTGCCGCGGGGGGGAGGGATTGAGTAGGTACTTGCTAGTCCGTATTTACCCCGCGTCCGCAATTCCCCCATCCTCCCCTACAAAGCTGAAGAGTTTGTTTGTTTGGTTGAACGATGATGATTGATGGATTTTATAAAATTTATTTGTATGAATATTAAAAAAAAAAATGATGATATCAAATTTCTGACTTTACCATACCATTTATATGCATATGTTAACATGGGCTAGTATCGGCTCATATACCCATTTACCTAACACCCTGTATACGACGACTATCTAAACAAAACAATGTTGAAAAACGGGCAAAATTAGGCTTAGAAGTGAACGTCTAATGGCTGAAGTGATGATGATGAATTTTTATGATCTTATCGGAACTTGTTTCGATGTGTTCAGAGTTAATTTTTAATAAATTGCATGTACTCTACACAATTTCAACTTCAGCTCAATTAAAAATGAAATTAATACGATGTTTAGTTATCAGTAGTTCCAACTGAAACTAATAATAATAATAATAATAAATACACTTTATTGCACACCAAACAAATAACATAACAGAAGAAAAGGAACACACAAGTTAGAACTAATTTCTAATCTATTAATTTACAAACGAAAAAACATACAAACAATCAAAACTTTCCTCTTTATAATATTAGTATAGAAAAACTTCTTTTGGCAACTGCGTGTTCTACGACTAATGTGAAATCATCTAAAATTAACGATCTTCTAACTTAATTGGTAAATAAAGACGAATAAATAATATAATTAATACTTTTTGTCTCGCATCGTATACACATTTCCTTTTTTGTTTGATGTGTCGGGTATTAACTAACACGCAGTAATACCAACATAATTTTTAATTAGTAACAATTTACAACAATGCAGAATAATAACTCGTCGTTACAACTAATTAAGAGTTTGAACACCAACGTGATACTTAATTCAATAATAGTTATAACAATCAAGACACTTACGCCCGTATTCACAAATATAACTATGAGGTCTCACAATGCGCATTGTCGCATAGGGTGACACACGAACCAATCACAGAGCTCTATTCAACGCTGTGCGTTCGATTTGCTGCTTCACCTTAGCAAGCATCGCTTGTGAATACTTTAGACAATTGTCTACAGTGGCGGCCTTAAGTAAAATTCTTGATAGGTACACTATCTTCACTCACTTCACTTGATATGATATATCACAGTAGGTATACATTTCAAACGTATCCGTAGTTGGGTAGTTAGAGATTTGTTTTCTTGCTCTACATGTAATGG